CATCGTCGCCTGGCAGCAGAAGTACCTGCATGAGATCGGACGTCACCAACAAGATGGTCGGAAAATCTTCTACTTGGACGAGACGTAGGGGACGGCAGGGCACACTGTCTCAAGGGTGTGAGTAGACACGACCGTGGCCTCGTCCCACGACGCCTTCATGCGTGGTCTCTCGACTGGCCTCAAGCAGCCATCGGAGAAGGGCAGCGTCTTATTGTCTCCCACATCGGCAGCGATGAAGGCTTCGTCGACGGCTGCCTGGACGTGTTCCATGGACAAAAGACCGGCGATTACCACGAGGAAATGGATGGCGCCCGCTTCGAGAACTGGTTCGACGGTGTCCTCGACAAACTGCCGACAGAAAGCGTTATTGTCATGGACCACGGTTCTTACCATTCACGGCGGTTGGAAGCAGTGCCGACGACGAGTTCCCGCAAGGACGACATCCGACAGTGGCTGACGTCTAAAACAATTTCATGCGACCCCAAGATGCTGAAGAAGAAGCTGCTCGACATTGTGGCCTTGGTGAAGCCACAGCACCTTAAGTATTGTGTGGACACTGCTGCCGAGACGGCTGGCTGTACTGTGGTCAGGCTCCCACCGTATCACTGCGAGTTCAACGCCATTGAACTGATTAGGGCGCAGATCAAGAACGGCGTTGCTTCCCGAAACACGACGTTCAAGATTGTCGACGTGGGGACACTTCTCAAGGAAGAAGTTGACAAGGCTACCACTGACAACTGAATTAATGCTGTCAGGCACGTTATTGGCATTCAAGCAACCTTCCCACGAGACGGTGTCACAAGTGCCCACATCCAGCCCATCGTCATCCAGCTGGATGAAGAGGACACCCCATCCGAGAGTGACCTGTCTGGTGTCGAGCCCCTTGACGAAGCTTAACGCCACCATTATGGAGAAAGCGTGTAACATCTCGGAACACAAAACGGTCCTTTTAAGGACCACTCATATGCTTTAAAATCGGATTGTTGTTCTTGTCCCCCAATGACCTCCCGTGTCTCATGTTGTCCTGCTTCTCTGCTCGTTGCCGTATAGCATTTCGATATGCAGCCACCAGACAAACTTTTTTTTACTTGTGTTGCGATAATGTCTAACCTGGTGTATACATTACAATGTGCCATGAATCACCAGTATAGATTTCAACTTTGTGAAAACCAAAGTTTGCTGCCCATCTACGCCAAAGACATCAGATGCCATATTGGCCCTTCCCGCTGTCTAAGCATCTTTGCTACGGAACAAATAGGATTTTGATTGCAAATACGGTCTTTTTTTGTTTAAGAAAAATGACATAAACGATCATTGCCAGTGCTCTGCTTTAAAGCATAAATGGGACGCCTGTGATCATTCACACGACCGAGGCCCCTCTGAAAACATGAATAACGTGCGTCAGCACTGTGGGCAGCTAACTCTTACTGCCAGAGATCTGTTTCGAAGTATAAACTTGACGTCGGTGGCCATTCACACGACCGAGACCTGTCTGAAAATAGCAGTAACGTGCGTCAGCACTGCGGGAAGCTAACTTTAACTGCCAATTCTCTGTTTCGAAGCATGAACTGGACGTCGGTGGCCATTTACACGACCGAGGCCACTCTGATAATAACAATAACGTGCGTCAGCACTGTGGGCAGCAAACTCTAACTGCCAATGATCTGTTTCGAAGCATAAACTGGACGTCGGTCGCCATTCACGCAACCGAGGCCACTCTGAGAATAACAATAACTTGGGTCAACACTGTGGGCAGCTAACTCTAACTGCCAATCATCTGTTTCGAAGCATAAACTGGAAGTCGGTGGCCTTTCACATGACCGAGGGCACTCTGAGAATAACAAAAGCCGTGTTTACATGAATGCGACTTAGTCGCATCGAATCCAGTTGTCGCATTCGATGCGGTCATGAGCCCCACGTTAACCCCTTCTCTGGCAAGGGTATTTAAAAATGATGCCTGCGATAGTGTTTAAGTAACGCGGCTCGGAAACAGGCTTTTTGTGCGGTGCCACTCATTTCAACGGATGGCATTTCCCCGACAGTTCGTTTCATCAACGTTGCGTTGTTTTATCAACAGATTGTTTCAACGACACTCGCTTCTCGATATATCTTTCTATGTTTCGTCGACAACATTTTTGTTTGATTAGGGGAGCGCTGGTTTGTTGGTGAGCAAGGGAACGGGTACATGCACGGGGCAGGACCACCCTTACACGCTGCTGCGAAGCGGGATGTACGGGTGGGCTGCGTGGGTCCAAATTTTTGTAATGAACTGCTGGAGACTGTCGCCGCAAAGCGTCGTGAACTGAGTAGGCCGGATAGTTTAACCTGTGCCCCAGTGATAAACGCACAACAAAATGCTCCTACAGCGTGAAATTTGTGTGTCAATGAAACTTCAGAGCACAGTGTGGTAGTATCGATGAAGCAATCAGTGTCGATGAAACGAGTCGTAAAAAGTTGATGAAACATGTATCGATGAAACGACAAGGACCCTTCTTTCCGATGGTATCATGAAAGCTCTGACAATGAGAACTGCGAAGTTGCCTCCAAGAAGCTCAATATGTTTTTTTACACGAGTCTGTCTTTGTCAAGGTAGACCAGAAAGATGATGACAGTCTCTGTACAGCTCGTTCGCGGCTACGGCCTGGTATAATGCAGAGATAAACATACATCAGAAATGTAATTAGGCGGTTTGACCTGTTGCTTGATTCAAGCGCTGTTGATTTTATTGTTATAAAGACAAATCATTCTGCCACTTGCATTCAGACCAAGATCAGGACATCTGAGTATTCGGTATGTTTTCAATTTTTGATTTAAACAAATATGTCGCATATAAGAAAGCCACAATTCATGAAGTAGGAAGCTGCCCTTGCAATCAAGTTTTATTGACAGACTTCTTATATTTTACAAATTATTAAACCAATGCTGCTGTCAAATACTGTGGATTAATTTTCCGTCTAAAATAAATTGGAAACGTTGGTGCGTGTTTACCGGCAATACCTCAGGCCGCGAGGCGACGCGAGTGGGGGTACTCGCGTCACGTACCCGGGTTTAGAAGCATAAACATAGGACTGACAGGGCCTCTGAGAGCAAGCAGATAATTCGAAAGCATTTGGAAGAACCAAATCTTCTTCCCTCAAATTCTCTGATATTTTTTCCAAAAGAAGACATCAGCTTCTTAACGTCCAAAAACAACATCAATTAAACGTCTGCAACATACGCATCACAGGCTTTATCATTTGTATGCCACATGTATGTAACAGCTCATTATTGCGAACGAGGATGCACCCGCGGGTACTATCACAGACATAGATTACCGTGCAGCTGACTGCGACGCGGAAACTTGACAAGGACGCCACATTTCACAGATGAATACAAACTGCTTCGAAGGCGTCATTTCAGTAGACGGACTATTGATTAACACCAGCAAAGATACGGTCGAAATTGGGTGAAGACACTTACTGTGTTCGCGGTTCACTTATGCCCCTCCCGCACAGCCCCCTACACTTATAAAGAAGAGTTTGGTGACCGCTGCATTTTGGCGTCACTCCACGGATACCTCTGCGAAGAAAAGCCGATGCCCTCACGATGTTGAGACGCAGCCTGAGGCAGAGAAGCAGACGGCGTTCGACGTTTGTACGATGCTAGGTCTTAGTCCCGCATCGAACTTTTCGATGGCAATGCTATCGCTGGATTCTCACGCTGTCGTGCAGAACCTATTGCGAATAAAAGTGGACGCGGTTACGACTTAGCGACGTATGCTCGAATAAGTGAAAAACCGAATTAAAAAAAAAAAAATAATTGCTGCAAGATACTGGAGTCGTAGAAAATTTGCCCGGCAGCCAAGTTGAAAGTACTCATTTGCCAGAACAAGATTGGCTCGGGCAGGTCGTGATGTCACGTAAACAACAAGACGCGATTGGTGGCGGAGGAATACAAGATTTCCTTTGAGGGGCATTTGCCGCTACCTTCTTGACTTCTAACCGACTATAGTGGCCTTTTTTTGTACTCGATCAAGTTTATTAATGTTGTGGGGTCGCTCGCTAATAAACGACGCCCGACCGGCCTCTGCTTCGCTCATCTCCCAAAGAGTGACACAACACAACGAGAACACAGCGGAAGGGTTTACTGTACTTCCCGGTTGCCCGTCCTCGAGAGCCGGCAGTCCAGGCTCGCCGATCCTGGTTTTCGTCCGTCATTCAGAGCTCGCCGCCGAAGTTTGCGTCCAGGCCTCCGGATCGTCCTTCTCACGCAAGCGCTCCGTAGGCTAGCTGTTCCGGCCTATTATAGCCCGAATTTCGCTGCGGAACTACTTCGATTTCGTCGTGGCCTAGGCCGGTATGGCCATGGCTCATCGTTTATAGTCCTGGTCCAAACCGCGTTAAAGGACCGCTGCGGGGACCGCCATGGGCCTGACGGGCTCCAACGTTCCTGTCCGGCCTCAGCCTTGCGCAGCAAGCTCTGTCATGCGCCAGCTCGTGTCTCTTCCGCCGACCACTTGTCACGTGCCCTCTGCCCCGTCATCTTCCACCCTCGTCTCCCACAACGTTAATCCTATTAAAATGGTGATCTATATTTCCCACTTCATCAAATGTTTGTATGACCAAATGTTTGTGTGGGTTCCATTCTGCTACATACCTATGTGTGAGAATTGTGTGTACTCTCTTGCGCAGTATCACAATCTGAAACGTAATACAGTAGTCTCGTCACAAGGGGAATATTTTCTCATAGGTTTCACGCAGTCTGTAGGTATAAAACTAGATATGGTTATGTAGTCTTTAATACCAAATTATAAAAATCCTGCCACAGATATTAAGAATATATCAGGCGGATACTATATGGTAAGTGTTCTAGGCACAAAAGAAGGTATTCAAAACATATTTTAAAAAAAGCCTGGTGGAAAATGAGATAGATGTATGATTGTTTTTCAATTCGTAGAGTGTTTCTTTTTTTTTAATAATTACACTGAACTTTTTAACTACATCTTTTTTTCCTTTTCTTAGGTACAATAATCAGTGGATGGTTTTGGACTACAAGCTCTTTACTCCCGGAAAAGCCATCGCGAAGAATACCCTCTGGATACTCGAACAGATGCCGTAGGTTTCTGATATTGAGGTAAGCCCTAAAAATGATGAACGAATGTTTTTTTTTTTTTTTTGCAGTAATTTAACAAAGTCTGAGGATCTCAGCAATTATCTTCAAAAGCAACGGTACTGGGCAAGCTACAATGTCGCGTGAGTATGAAGCCGTTATGCACTGCGCCGTATATTCATTAACTCTAGAGTGCAGGAAATTTCAACATTTTCAATACACAAAATCCCCAAATCACTTCTCTACATGAATGACAGTAAAGATAAGTTTGATGCTGAGAATGACATCTTGGCAGAGGCAGAGATGGTTCCTTCCGTGGTGTCGACAATGAGACGGAAAACGGAGAAGAATTAAAAATATTCCAGTGGGGGCGATTTCGATCGTTCAATCAGTCGAATTTTAATTTCAAAACTGTGCACATCAAATTGTTTGTACACACTTTTGGATACGTTAAAACTGACGCGCGATGAAGTCCTCGAGTCCATACTAAATTCGTACTTTTTCGCACGTCTACAGCTTATGTAGGGAGCCACCTTCTTTCTCTCTGCCCGGCACAGGCCATTCAGTTGAACCGGGCCGATGCCACGTGTTTTGCTTTTACCCAATGAACAGCAGGCAAAAAAAAGGAGCCCTCAACGAATACTACAGAATTCCTCATAGGTTCGGTGCGAATATTGCTCGCGGCCAATGCAGTTTTAAGCGGAGACTGTCACATATCATATGATCCGAACCTCGAACAACCAAAGTGACGGCGCCGCAAGAAAAAAAAGCAATGACCTTTAATTTTAAAGTTCTATTATGCGTTAAATGTATTATAGGACTTTGAATTTTCAATGTTCAGCTAAATTTAGTGGGGAAACTACATTGGTGTATAGGTAACATGACGTCAGGTCACGTGAGGTTAATTTCACCACACTATTTAGCGGGGTAACTGAATTGGTGTACAGGCCACGTGCCATCAATGTTCCCGCCAAATTTAGCGGGGAAACTGAATTGCTGCAGTGGTCACGTGATATCCAGTTTCCCACCAAATTTGGCGAGAAAACTGAATTGGTTTATATGTCATGTGACGTATATTTGACTGCTATACTTGGCAGGCAAACTAAATTAGTCTGTAGGTCCCGTGATGTAGGGTCATGGGCCATCAAATTTCCCGCTAAATTTAGTGGGGAACCGAATTTGTGTATAGGTCACGTGACGTCAATTTTTCCGCTACATTTAGCGGGAGTTGCACAGACGGACGCCAATACCCCAATACCAACAAAATGTTGGTATTGGGGCTAGCGTTAAAAATAATTTCATGTTTTATAGAAACCTTACCCCAGCAGACGAACCACGTGAGCGCCTTTTATGCGGCCGTACTCCGCGTAATCCAATTTCGTTCCAATTTGGTTTATTTACTTCGTTCAATATTACATACCCCATTTACCTACTTACCTATACGAAATTGCAGTTTCTTCCCAGCCATCTTCAACATCAGTGGCCAACCAGATATGGTCAAGAAATATGGAAATTATTACAGCCATGATATGTCCGCCCGCGCACAAATATTTAGGAGGGAACAGAGCAAGGTTAAAGATCTTGTTACTATGACAAGCCTCATGAGGTAAGCTGCCTTCATGGAAAGTCTAAATTATATATTTGTTTTATCTTGGTATTTTAAGTACAGAAACATCGCAGTTCAGTGTGCGTAGCACGGAACATTGTCTCTCCGCCTGCTGGTGTCCTGCCCAGTACTGCATTATAATTTCTAGCCGCTTCCCTCCGACGTCAAATTCCTGAATCGCAGGTGTGTTAAAATGCGAATGAGATTTGGTTCTAGATATTCTGACGCGTATCTATAGTTTAATGTGATGTGGAGAATCATCTACCGTATACGATTCTCCACGTCAAAGACGTCTAAAGGCTTTAGACGTCGACAAAAACGCTGTGTAAGTGGCTCTTTCTTTTGTGTGCATGAAAGCTTTAGAATGCTTGTTTTGAGGGTACGCTGTTTCCTTGTCAGTAAATTATCGAGCCCCACTTTTTGGGGGGTTATATCTCACGCCATCAGCTTCCCCTTCTTACTCACATCCAGCTCAAAGAACAAATTCCATTAGCTTCGGTAACGTCGCTGCAAACTGGACAAAAAGAAAAACAACAACAATAGATCTGCGTCGAAAGTTGAGATTGGTCCGTCAGGAGTGACTTCTCTCTTTAGCATGCACTCAATCGCGATATCGCAACTATCCTAGTCAAATAATTGGTGTAAACGACAGATATGTTTGCATATTTTCACTTTGGATGCGTCGCTAACGTTTTTTTCATTTACAAGGTACAATAATTACACCCACGATCCGGCATCAAGATGCAACTGCACACAGAAATACAACCCCGTCAGTGCTATTTCTGCTCGGTTCGACTTGTTGAACCCAAGTTTGAGCACCGGCTTGCCAGGGGTCAAACAAAAGGCCGTCGGAGGAACCGATATGAAGGTGGGTAATATCACCTAACACTTATTCAGCGAATATTAGCTACTGAGAGATTTAGAGAGGTCATGTAACCGTAATGTGTATTCGCGTTTTTGTATACCAGTTTGTTTATTCGCACTAGCTATGCCATTTTTCAACCCAAAATGCCATCAGTTGATACATTTGTGCCTCCTCTAGTTTACGATTACTAAGCTGTTACAATTTCTTTAATACTCTTCCGATGCCATTGATATCTCTTGCACTGTGGTTCCGGAGGCCCTATACCAGGATATATGGAGGTGGTCATATGTGTGCGATTTTGTAGATTCAAAGTCTTCTCACGGATTCTGCGTATACTGTGAAAAAAATGGTCTACGTGCAGACCAGCTGGTGAGAATTTATCATGATGTTTAAACCTTGAGACTTGAAAAAAACTTTAAGATATTTTAAAAAAGACTGAAAAAATGTGAAAGGTGACAGACAAATGTAACGCACTCAGGTAGCATAATGTATATCATTATAACGCTTTTGTTCCCTTTTCCCAAGGTCATCCACAACGTAAAACACACAGAGGAACACTTCGTTTTCAAGTCGACTTAAAATCTAAGCCACTTTGTTCCGAACACAAAAAGGTGGAACCCATACGGTAGTTCCAGCAGGGAAGCTCGACGGAAACAGTTCAAACAAAACAAGTCATTTCAGACACGCATACACAAAGGAATAAAAGTACTATATCATTTGAAATTCCCGAACTCCCCGCATACAAAGGGTGCAAAAAGGAAAACTTAGTTTCATGGTGATCCAAAATCTAAGCCAGTTCTTTCAGCAGATGACACTAAGGATTGGCGCAGGAGGGAGCCCGACCGAAAAAATTCAACAAAGCTAACCCCTTTGAAGCAAATATACACACAAAAAAGAAGAAATGACGCTGTAGATCGTGGGATCCTTTTTTTCACAGAGACGGTGCAAAAACATAGAAACTGCACTGTTTAGATTTACCACCGAAAAAAACAATCCAATGAAAACAAACAAAAATAAAACTGTCCTGCAATTTTAGTTACAATTTCACGAATATTTTTTACTGATTCCCGAGTTGCATTTGAAGCTTGACTGATGCGATTTCCTCACATGTTTATCCTAACTGCTTCTTTCACTGCGGATTTTATGTCATTACTCTACATGCTAAACACCTCCCTTCTTGGAGGGTCAACGGTATTATTGTCACATTCGCGAATATGTGTAGCTAATTGCATATTCCAAACTTGGTTAATTACGTTACATTTGTGCTCTGTGAATCTGTTATTAATACATCTTGGCGTTAGGCCTACATATTTAAACCCACTAGCCACCGGTATTACATACGCCACCCCCCCCCCCCCCCCCCCCTTCCGCAAGATACCGACTTTTCGCAGTGCTGTTTTACATACAGACCGGTCTGAAAGGCTGCCAATTTACTCAACTTAAAATCCGAAGTGCAAACCCAGTCGACACCTTACCTTTTTGCACAAGCCTTTGAGTTGCGTGAGACGTTATGCAAATACAATATTATCGCTCTCCAGTTCCTTGGAGCCTGGTCTCTCTTCCCTTTCATGAATTGTGTGGACATTTGCACTTTTATGAACACATCTTGATAGCCCGCATCTTCCAGTCTCTTCAAGTGCCTCTGTAACGCTTAATTTATTTAATGGGTGCACGACATCTCTAGAGCATTTCTAGCAAAGACTTGACTCCTTGTGTGCTATTGTTTATATACTTCGACTTTAAATATTTTTTGCATGACGGCTCCGTTTCTAAAGAACTGTTGTTTCGATACTGTATTGTACTCCCAACATAATCCATCTCTAACTTGTAAGCTTACGTCTAAAAAGTGTAGCACTCCTTCCTGTGTTTTTTCTACTGTGAAGGGCAATTTTTGGGCGGCCTATCTCACCAAGTTTTTAGGAGATTTCGATACACTTTTTTATAATGAAGATCATCACGCTCGGCTCTAAAGCTGAACCACTACACCTATGTCAGCTTCCTATAAAGCTTTTAGGCCCAATAGAGACAATTTTAAAGGAGAGCTTCGGCGAAATGTAAATGGTGATTGATTTTTATAGAATTTTATCCGTGTACCAAATATTTATTTACCTTTGAGTAGATCTACGACACATTTCAACAAAATATTCATTTTAAAATTTCGATAAAATAAATTTGGAAGCTTAGGCGTATACAATCGAATCCCTTGCTGCTGCTCTACTGGAAACAACAAGCAGGGGAACTCGTTACGTTAAATGTATTTAAGAGCAGACGACGACGCCTACACCACGGCGTTGTGCGCTGTGGTGATAGTGAGCGTTGTGGTTTCGCGAATTGCCTCAGGTTTAGTTTGTTTGCGGCATTCCGTGGAGGGTGAGGGGAATTAGTGATGGACTGTGAGGTGCAATAACACCACAAAGCAACACAGCGGAGTTACATCTTATTGTTTTCCTTTCCGACCTAGAAGTCCTTGCGAAGGAAGTGGGCCTGGGCCGTCCGACGCGAACGCTGGCTCGGGGCGTTCGCCTCGTGCTAGAAAACAGTAAACACTTTGCTAGAAAATAAAACCTTTCATGCCATTCTACTTCACTGCGGCCTCTTGGTCCTCATGTCGGCGGATCGCGAATGCAGCCCCCACGGGAGGTGCCCTGGGAGGCGATGCCGGCTAATTGAATGCGAACGGCAAATGGTCTCACATTTTGTGCTAAAAATTCTGAAGCATTTGCAGGTCATTGCACTAAGGCGAGCGCGATGAATCGTTGTTATTTCACACAAACGACCACGATGGCCTTCTGACTGCATCTGACTCTGAGCAGGACGTGCTCAAGCTGAACATTTGCTGATGTTTTTATAACATCTGATGTCACAACAAGATGCCGGAATAGTAAAGTTGCTGGATATTTACGGATTCGGTTATATTGTATCTCTACGATTTATTTTTATGTAAAACATTTTAGGAAATTTACTTTCTTCGCTAGGTTCAATTTTGTTTGCTTTTTAAGAAAATATGTAGATGAAAACGTTCGAATTGACGCCGGAGCTCCGGTTTCAGGTAGCAATAAATTCTACCGGCGGGGTTTGATTCAGGGACCAAGTGATTACAAGATAGCCTATCGACTGAGGTTAGCTGAGCAGTTACGTGCGGACAGCTCACAGGGGGTTATATATTATGAACCACTTGTCAGGCGTTTAATTTTTTTCTAATTTATAAAATATAATTTGTAAATTTAAAAATCTACGCTAACTTGGTCATGAAGTCAAATGACGGGGACAGATTTTTTATTGCGAATTCTGGTGCGTGTGCGTGAAGAGGTGGGGCTGCTGAGTGCGGGACTAGCACTTCCACTCATTTTAACTGTATGTTAGCTCAGCTCATGTTGGAAGCTGTTTCTGAAGCAAATCCATGGTATTCACATAAACGTTTACGATTTTTTGAAATGGCGCACACTATATTTTCGAATTCTAGCTTCTCTATGCATACGAATTACGGTCATAAAATCACTTCGAACTTTCACAGGCCGTCGTCGTGCATTCATGGCTATGTAACTTGGCTGTGGGAAAGTGTATATAAACCTTTTGTTCGTACCTATCCAAAACGAACAAATCGGGAGGAATCCCAGTCAACTTCCTTCGACCTCGTGTGGGAGTGGGCGCCCTGGTCCTGATGGGTACGACTGAGGATGGTGTTCGCCCGATGACAGACCCCGGAAAGTTGAACACATTGCGACGCTTGTTGACTTTACAGTGGCCAGTGCGGCCACGTTTATTATGAAGAAAAAAAACGCAACAGTGAGTTAAAATCCCAAAGTTAAACCCCATACTTTTGACCCCAGTCTCCCAAAATCGATTCGAAGCCAATCCTCCGAGAATCCTCTTGGCAGTCCTGTTGTAAACTAGTAGGAGACTCCTTTCCTCTCAGGGACCAACCAATCCCTTCAAACTCTACCACTCGCACGTGGTACACTGTTACCCAGTGGTCGGCGAGCTGTCAGCCTGGCGCTCCAACCGCCAAAACCTAATTTTTTCTAGAATCGTTCCTTGCATTTTTCCCAGTCTGCTTGGCGCCAACAGCTAAATTATTACATCGGGTAAATACTAAAAGCGACAATTTGACACAAAGCGGCGAAACCCTCTATACACAGGCGCACTTGGTTAAAAACCACAAGCAGCTCCAAGCGCGGGTTCTCCCGGAACCCGAGATGTTTCTTAACTACCACAGGGGAAACTCTCCCACCTCGGCCGCAATGCCCCACAAATGCTCCCTCCAAAACGCCGACACCAACATACAAAGTTTAAAAAAAAAAAATAATGCCGACGCAACTATGAAACAATCATCTTTTTTAACAGAGAGCACCTTAATTAATAAGCAGGATTTCTACATACATAACAATCACCCATCTGCATTAAAATTAATACGCCAATATAGAGACACCAGCGTATTTTTATTGCCTACACTTTTGCTTTTCGGAATTTTCCATTTTATAAACAACAAAAAATATCTGGAAAGCCACCAAAGGCATGAACGCGACATTGACATATGTTTCAGTCAAATCTCGTTGTTACTAGTGCTCTTTGGCAGCGAGCTGTAGTAGTGCGAGTGAAACTCTTGAGTGTTCGAACTAAAGGAAAGTTCATAAAGGTCACTCACGGAGTTTGATTCATTTCGGTGAGAGGCCCTTAATCCCGGACATAATACATGACTATTAAAGAACCCACATCCTCCACGTTAAACGTAATGAAATCACTTGGACGTTCAGAAAACAAAAACTCAGTGCTTCTGTTTTCTTTTTTTTCAGCTTACCAATTACGCCATGTTTAAAAAGCTGGAATTTGTAGCCATAAACGGGCCAACATATACGACAGACGGTTCCGTGCCTCCTTTCCAATGGAGCACCAGTGGCTTCAAGCATCAACAACACGACGGCCATCCGGACAAGTGGACATTCGGGCCCACGCATCACCACTGGGACACCTGTCCAATCCATTGAGTAACAAAATGTTTCTTTTTATAGCGGTCGATTAACTGCTATATCTTAAATGATTTCCATTAGTCCGACGATATTGCTATTATTGGGACTATTAAGGTCCTTCACAATGGCGGGCAGACATTCAAGATATTGAAAATGTTGTTCATAAACTGAAAGAAAAAAATATTATCCCAAGCAAAACTACCCAGGTATGCTCTTTAAGAAACATTATTATTTAAGTCCAGAGGCACGGAGAAATCCAATCACCAACAGGGTTTAGATTGGGACAAATAATGATGTCGGGCTAATAAAAAAATGAAAGCTACATTCATCTGCAAATTCGTATAATACATGAAATGTAGTATATAGGGGCGATCATCTCATTTGATTGGAAGACATTAAACAGTCGTTCTGAGAGTGAAGAACCTATATTTTGATAAATTCTTGAGATACAATTTTTTTGTCACGTGACCAAAAAGAGATTGGGGGAAGGAATGCAAGCGAGGAGAGAGTGGAAGGGAGCTGCAGGATTCTTGGGGAGCGGTAAAGAGGATAAAAGTAGCAAAAGAGAGGAGGGCGTGAGGGAGAGGGGGAGGAGGAACAGATGGGGAGTGGAAGAGGAGCACCGTCGGAGGGCGAGAAGAAAAAATTGGGAGAGAGAGGAAGTGAACGTAGGAGAGTGGAATGGAAAGAGGGAAGTGTTGTGTCACGTGACGTAAATTTTTCTCTCAGTTTAGTGGGGAAGTTGAATTGTTGTGTCAGGTGACCAGGAAAAGGGAGAGTTAGGGAAAGGAGGAAGGGCGACCTAGGAGCAATAGGAGCATAGGAAGGGATGGCGAGATGGAAGGATGGGCTTAGAGTGGAAGGGAGAGAGGGTGGGAGAGCGGGGGAAGGGAGGCAGATCAGGAGGTTTTGGGCTCTGATTCGGACTGCACCTGCTAAAACGGGATTTAAAAAAAAGAAAACATTGGAACAACAGATAGTTTACGCCTGATTTATTGAGGCGTAGCCGACTTCGACCCACGGGTCAACGAAATACGCACCCTCTTAACACTGGCCATTAGTAAAGCATTTGACAACCTCCCAGCGGTGATGCGCTCGCTTCATAAACTAGGCATACAAGGAAGACTCCTTGCTTTCGTCAAAGCTTTCCTCAAAAATACGGCATCAAAGTCGGCAACACTAAATACCATGAGCGTGGCAGCAACATCCGCGTCCTACGGGGTTCAGTGCTGACGCCGGTTCTCTTTAACCTCGTAATAGAAACTGCAGACATAGCAGTTGTACACTTTACAGTATACGTTGATGACATCACTTTATAAACAAACATCGGGCCCACAAAGCTGTAACATATTCTCCTGAAAAAAAAGGACCTGGCGCAATCGAAGATTATCTAAGAGACGTCTGTCTCCAACCATCAACAGAAAATACGAAGTATATGCAGACAAGAAGAAACCACGTAACGAAAGCTCTCCAGCTCACATGCCATGAAAAGCAATCGAGAGAATTGAAGAACTTAGAATTCTCGGTGTATACTTTAATATTAATAACGGTCCGGTGTTGTGGCTAAAAGCAATCATAAAACATGGAAGCAAGGAGTACAACTAATTTGTAGAAGTGCCCACCGCATGGAAGGCGTGGTAGGGCACGTCGCAAAACTTCTCATGCGATCGGTGCTTACCTTAAGAGTGGTGCACGGCATTCGCTTCTATAGTTTCAACAAATGACCTTGGGCTGGGCTTCAAACACTACTTAAGGACGCATAACGTACCCAAATGCCCAAAATTAGAAACAACTTCGATAATTCGTGTCCTTCCCGGAATTCTATCACAACTTGGCCTCGCAGATTGACCTGCACCAAGCGCAGCTCGAACATGCAACCCAGGGGCGTGCCATCCTAAAGCTAATGAACCAACCTATCGACCAACTTCTTTTATCTTTCTGAAGAAACCCCTTCATGGAACCTCACCAACGTAACCCCGAAAACCCCCATCCCACGAAACATCCTCTACGTGACGGCGGGACATTCTGCTTTTAACTAAAATAGAGTAATTGGGCACGCGAGCTTGTGTAACTTAATCAAGCCGTGCGCGATACTCACGAATAACTAGATAAAACTTGCCGTTCTTCAGGCGAGCGCTATACACATTCACGTCTTGCCACGTTAAAAGTGAAAACTAACAAAAAATAGCAGTCACCGGCAAGACAAATTAAAGCGTTCGAAATAGATTCAAGCCCTACGGCGACAGAACCCTGACGGAACCCCTTGGCAACCAATCGTGAACTCTCCTGTTTGTAGTGCCCACTTCGTCGGAGGTTCAAAAATAGACTGAATTCAAAGAGGGGAGGTTTCTTACATACTGTTCCTTACCTTTTTACGGTGCAGGCCAGCCATCGCGATATCAACACCGCCCGGATATCACCCTGTTCGAGTATGTTTACACGACGCCAGGTACAGCGACGCCTCGTGCTCTCACGCGGTACAACAGAACAGCGAAATGACAGAACACAAAGCTGTCGTCTCGCAATAAGCTTGAATAACTTAGACGCTCAATGAGAGCGGAATCAGGTGTTTCTAGTGACCGGGCCTCAAAAACGGAAAGATCAACCTCCGCATAGGGTGGCTAGTTGGGTTGGGGTCGAAACTGGTCACCATTACTTTCCTTACATCGCACGCGTGCCCTGAAATTCGAAAAATGTTTTTAAGTCGCTTGCCCAACCATAAGCTTCTATACACTGACAAAACCTGGCAGATCGCCCCTTGAGGCGGCCGCCAAAATGGAAAAGGTGGAGAGGCAGACAACGGATGAGAAGAGAGCAACGTGACTGGCGCCCCGCTGCGGCGAGACGCCGAAACAGACTTCTACGGAGCGAACAAGTGTGTTTCGGGTCCTTGCCGCTGCAAAAGCTGTGCTTTGACGTACAGGTTCCCCGAGAAATGGCTCTTTGATGCTCTGTGTTACCTGATTCCCGCGCTCCAAATCTGCGACCGGGCACTCTTTGACTCCGTCGTCGAACTGCCAGGCTTTGTGAGTATAGAGGAGGCTATGGCTGGACGGGACACCGAAGTGATGATTGAGTGTCTCCGTGTCGACGGTGGGGACCGATGCGGCGTCGGCGGTCTATTCATCTTTGAAAGTTTAAAGACGAACGAGGTTGTCGTAAACAGTGACTTTTGTTGATCCACCAGGATCGTTCTTGGCCATTGCGAAGCAAATATGCACGCCAAGCGGCGACAAAAAGACACGTGCAGAATGACGAAGGACGGAACTACGCCACCAGAGGACACACATAGACAAACAGACCGGGAGGCACGCGCGCACTGGCGTGGATGACGGAGCGACGATTTCGGAGCCCTCAAAAGTGTTTCGAGAAATTCCCGCGAGGGCGCGTCACGATCATGGCAAAACTCTTAAAAAGGGTAATTGTTTTAAAAAATTTACTGTTTTTGCAACATATATACCGCGCTTGCAAAAAAAAAAAAAAAAAAAATAAAGAAATAAACTGTTATTAGCGAGTTTTGGAATTGGCGGCTGAAGTTATTTCTCGGAAGTACATATATATATATATATATATACAACACGGGCACTTCACGTCATCGTACGTGGTCTCCGAGGAGGATATAAACGAATATGTGCAGAGGAATGAACCGTACTTAATCCAATGAATCAAAGAATCAAAGTTTTCAGGAACCCGCCGAAAGCCAAAAAACGGCGGAGCCAGGATTTGAACTCTGGGCCTCCCAATGTCCGGTCGGGTGTGCTAACCACTACACCTTTTTTTTTTTTTTTTTTTTTTTTTTTTTGTGCTAACCATTACACCACTCCACCTTGGCTTTCTGGCGTTTCCTACCTGTCTTATTAATGCACAAGAAACGAAATGTGTCCAATCGGAGGTGTTCTTGTGCATTAATAAGACAGGTAGGAAACGCCAGAAAGCCAAGGTGGAGTGGTGTAGAGGTTAGCTACACCACTACACCACTCCACCTTGGCCCAGAGTTCAAATCCTGGCTCCGCCGTTTTTTGGCTTTCGGCGGGTTCCTGAAAACTTTGATTCTTTGATTCATTGGATTAAGTACGGTTCATTCATCTGCACATATTCGTTTATATATATATATATATGAACCTCCGATAAATATATATATATATATATATATATATATATATATATTTATCGGAGGTTCAGTTTATAGTAGAATAGATAAATGATCTAGTTGGTACATCACTGAATGGAAAGCGCCGAATAAACAAGGACGAGGAAGGGAACAGAGGGGAACTAGAAACGAAGCGCACTGTCAACTGAAGGTTTATTGAAACAAACATTGACTATTAATACCGTCTAGCTGGCTGTTGGCTTAGTAAGAAAAACTCGTTATCTGTCAAGTGCAGTGACGGCGCTCTAATACAGAGGCTATCTGCATAAGAAAGCAAGGGGAGAGCCTGTGTATTATTGCGCCGTCACTGCACTTGATAGATAAGAAGTTTTTCTTTCTAAACCAATAGCCAGATAGACGGTATTAATAGTCAATGTTTGTTTCAATAAACCTTCAGTTGAGAGTGCGCTTCGTCTCTGTCCCCTTCCTCGTCCTTGTTTATTCGGCGCTTTCCATTCAGTTTATAGTGTTGTCATCAAGAAACAACCGGCGTACCACGATGGCCGGTGGGGTTGTGGACTTGGAGAAGCTCAAGCAACTTTAATATCTCAGAATAAAAAAGAGGGATCAGCACTAGCGCTTGCTGATTTGTGGAATTCGCAGAATAGTGAGGTAATAGGACGCCTCTAAAGTGGCGCACACCTCACAATTAATTAGATACGTGTTCCTGGTGTTAAAACGTGTTTCTAACGTATAGTTCTTGGTTCTCAGCACGGGCTTCGACGGATATTACGCCGCTACTTACGCCCCAGTCGAGGTAAGTGCTATACGTGCTGCCTCGAGAGAGACGATTCAAATGTCAGTGCACATGTTATCAGCATAGGCAGAGCAACGATGTAGCAATCGCGATCCGAGTTACCGACTGCTTAGAATCAAACTATTTTGCATTCATTTAACTCATATTAACACGAACATATTTTCGAAGTACTTTCAATATACTAAGTTGCCATTTAGGCATCTTAACGTACTTCAAGCATATTTAAAACGAATTCCTGGAAATTACGTTGTAGTTACATTAATAATAAACTTTAAGTGCGCTTACTTCATATTTTATAACTTTATATGAAATGCATTTTTAACATACAAAGGCTATATTTATGTTTCTCAACGTATATGAGGTGCATTTAAAGTGTACATGTTTATGTCATATTTGCAATGTATTCAAGACAAGTACAATTAGTGCAGTCTACAAAATTTAGTAATATACATTTATTATACCTTTAGCGTATTTCAAGACACAAAACACGTTTGAAGTATATTCTAAAGGCCTTTGCACATATCTCAAATGTATTAGTTTTTGCTAATAGTATCCCCAAGGGACCCTGCCGATACCAAACAGTCTTGCTTTGACGCGTGCGCAGAGGCGCGGTGATTACCCGTCATTTACTCAGCAAATGAGATAACAGAAAAAAGCAAACAAGACGCGACATATCAATCCCTGATTCGACGGTACCCACACTGCCAAGATGCCATCACACTAAAGCTACATGACCGCATGTGAACCTGCGCAGCCTTCGCGACACGCCGAACCCAAGCTATCAATGTGGAGTGCAAGTCGTCTGGTTCTTGTGCAGGGGTTGCTGTTATGTCAGAACAACGCCCAGCTCGGATTGGTTTTGATTATTGAGAGGATAGTGGGTAGACCTTAACGCAAGACGCCTCGAGGTCTGCCCACTATTTTTTTTTTTCAGTCAGACATAGAGAGTTCGGTGTCCTGACGTCATCCCAACACCTGCGCGACAAGCAAAAGAACACGCGCTTCGTATAGTCTGCACCCTGACGACCGACCACAGGACCTCGTCTCCTGGACTAACTCAGCAGAGGTTCAGGGTGCTGCATGCAGCCCTTCCTCAACTACCTCGGTTTCAAACGGATTGGGCGCCCTCTTTTAGGAGATGCCCTATACCTGCAAGCAACGCTGCAGCGCGACCGCTTGATTGAGGCTAAATAAACGTATTTGTCATCTCACCTCACCATCTGATGAGGTCAAACCGTCGAATCAGTTGAACATTAAGGCATCACATTTTCAGTGAACAAACTTACCTGAGTAAAAAATAGAAATTAAAAACTTGAAATCGCTATTTACAGTGGCCGTGTACTAACCAAAGGCGTATGTTTGTTGCAACAGCCAATAAATGTCAGCAGTGCTCTCCATGTTGGGTGGAGGTCGGCAGTGAAGGCACCAAGAACCGCATTTTACAGCGTCAGCTTTGGTGATGATAGCAGTGTTGTCGGTGGCTTGTTTCGGATGGTTTTCCCCTCGATGAAGCGCCTCACCCAGCATAGAATCGTATGAGGAGGGCAATTTCGTCTGCTCCTTGCGCAGGGGGTAGCGGTGACGTCAGAACGCCGAGCCCTGATTGGCTGATCGCGACCCCCTATCTGAGCGTCGTCTGCTCCTTTGCAACGTCGTCTGCTCGCAACGTCGTCTGCGTCTGTCTCACTTTTGCTGCGACTTTCGGAAGTGCAGAGGCCAGATTCACGAAACGAACTTACGTCAAAAATGTGCGTAAGACAAAACTTAAGAACAAATTCGTATTCACGAAACAAAATTTTCGTAAGCTTTGCGCAGGTTATGACGAAATCCTACGACAGCTCTGAAGGTGTCTTACGCATTTCTTACGATCAAATCAGCATGGCCGACAGCGTCACAGTCGCGACGACCCACGGACGTTTATTTTTCTACGGGCGCTTCTCACGCGTCCCGACTTCAAGCAGCAAGAAACAAGTAAAAAGTACTTGAAACAGATCACGACGAACAAGAACGCTGGATCCACAAACACCCGGGAAAAGCTCCAACGGCCACGAATCCACCGAACCCGACCAAGCGAGCACGGCAGTTAGGCCTAGCAGGCACTCGGCGACCATCTGTTCACGACCGGCTGGCGTGGTGAATGGAATATGCCAGCGCGACCCTTGTGAACCCTTCCCGTATTATACTTTGATCGCTAACCTCAGTTTTAGATTAAGAGGTAAATTTCTTCCTCTTGTTATCTCCTTGTTTCTCGAGGCAACGGTGACTCTCGCCGGTGAAAAAGCGGTGAATCTCCGACAGACGCAGGAAAGGTAAAGCAGCCATCGCTTTGACTAGCAGACGTAAAGCAGACGACGTTAATGGTGCCAACCCGCCGACGCCGTTAAAGAATGAGGGGTCTCGCCGCACACGAAAGGAGGGGAAAACTATTTGGGAGGGAACTTGCGGACACTAACATGCTCACTCTCGGTTCTTAGCAAACAAACCTCGGCGCCTCGGGACACCTCGCCAGTGAGTCCTTTGACTTCCCGCCTTGATGCGCGTCTGCTAGTTGTTAGACAAAAACAACGTACCGCTCGAGTTATTTCGTCTGCCCTCTCTGAAAGGCCAAGTCGAGCTCGCTTGACTTCCGAAAGTCGCAGGAAAGGAAAGACAGGCGCAGACGACGTTGCGAGCAGACGACGTTGCAAAGGAGCAGACGACGCTCAGATAGGGGGTCGCGATCAGCCAATCAGGGCTCGGCGTCCTGACGTCACCGCTACTTCCTTTCTCATGCGCAGAAGACGAAAATGAGCCCACTTGCGAGGCGAATAGGAAGCCCAGAGGTCACCGACGAAAGTCCGCCCAAAAACATTGGCGAACCTCTTTTGTCCTCTGGCACTCCCCTTGTTGGAAGCCTTATAGCGCGCTTTGCTCCTAGTCGGGAGCTAAGCCTACCATGAACATGACTTGCACCACAAAACAGCGAAGATAAGAAAATAAAGGAAACGCGGTAACAAACAGAGAGTGCAAACCAGACGAAGAACTGTAGCCGAAAATAATTGTCGGAAAAAAACGAGAGAACATATCTCTTTTGTCGATTTCATTTTATCTTCATTTTTTTATGCTTGACTGGTAGAATAAAACAGCCATGCACTGACAATTCGTAAAAAAAAAAAAAAGAAAAGAGCACATTGTTTTTATTTCCGATACTTCGTCTGATATCCACCCCGAGAAGATGGAGTGGCGCCACCTGTTGAGACGTAAGAGCAAGGATCACGTGACAGCTTCTGCGCTTCCTTGGTAGAATATAGGTTGAGACTTATCGTTCACAATTTATGTCTGATTCGTGAATTTGAACGAGAGTTGGGGTTGAGTGTTACCTAATTCTTTCGTTGTACTTTTCGTCAAAAATTAAGCTCGGGCAGCGCGCCAACAGTGGCGTGGCGGCATAGGGAACTGGACCCAGCGACCCAGGTTTATGTTATGGTACTAATCACAACCAAGTCGGTCGTCGTCGTAGCTTCGGAGGCTTGTCCAATGGACAAACAGGTAGATTCTGGAACATCATAGTTCCCGGAGCGATTTTTTTTTCCCTATTTGTTAGAAACAGGCAGGGAAGAGAAAATAGAAACAAATCCCGAGGATGGCTGAGCAGGCGTTGAACTTGGCATTCCGATCTCCGGTTTGCTCGCGCAGTTTTAGAAAGACACACAAAAAATAGTCTTCTAACCAAATGATTCGAGGGTTATTCATAGCGTGTTCATTTGAGCTTTAGATCAAAGAAAGCAGCAAATAGAATTGACGAATGTGAAAATGCGACGAGATCATCCGCCACCACCGCACAACAGTCCGAAAAGGACAAGGGTACGACGAGGGGCTCGGCTGACTTTCTAACCGGACGATTCAGGTCAAGGTTACACTATTCATACTGAATGGGCCCACTTAAAGGGGCCCTGCAATCATATTTAAGCGTCTACCTTTTTTGCGGTTTCCACGTCTCTTGGGGTTCGGGCAAGCCAGCGGGCACGGAGAGAGAAACTAAATATCAGTGCGTCGTATTTTAATCGGACGACGCAGAAACCTCCTCCACCGACGAGGGCGACCCGCGGTACCGAAAGCGCGCGAAATGTGACGTCTTTGGTCCTGGGCTTGTCACAGGTCAGAGCCGCTAAAAGCTTATTTTTAGTCGAAATACAAAATATAAGTGGCGCGAACTGTTTTCATTATTTATGAAAGTAGTTTTGGGTCAGTATTCTAGATCAAAAAAGAAACGAATGCAGTTCATAAAGTACGCAAGAAAGAAATGACCCGTCGACATACCCGCCACCAAGCGGTGGAAAAGGCGGCGCATGCTAGAAAGGAGTAGTGGGATCAGGCGCCGACACGGAAAGGTCCCGGATGTACGCGGCGGCGCTGCGGTCGTAAGGGCAGGAGGATCCGACCGGCTCCGAGCGTTCCGGCCGCCTTCGGCGAAAAGCTTTGTCTTGCGGTTTGGCCGTTTCGCGGTATGGCAGCTCAAAGTAGCTCCCATTCTGAACCGGGGTAATACGCCGTGTTTGCTGTCGTTTGTGGCCAATGAAGTGTCATGCCGAATTAGTATTTAATCACACAGCAAATGCAATCAGAGCCGCTCCGGCTGCCCGCTGCATACAGCCTATCCAGAACACGTTTTAATGGCGCCCTCTCGCGCCGTCAACACGGAGTGCGGCAGCCGTGAGCGCTCGATGAGCTCACTACGCCTCCTCTAGTTCACGGTCACTCTCAAGCAACCAAGGACGTCATGAGGGAGGTTATTTTTGGCTTGTTTTTGACATTTTAATTTGCCTATAACTTTTAACATAAAGGGAATTTCGAGAAACGAAAACGTTCACTAAGTTACTACGTTCAGTGCGCTCAGGTTCGGTACAAATTAAAAATTAGTAACAACGTCATTGCAGGGCCCCTTTAAAAAGGGGGTCGCGCCAACATGTATGTTCAACGACGCCGCTCGTCGTAGGCACCGAATCGAGTGACGAGTACCTTGCTAGGCCTTCCTGCCCACCTTGCAAGGCCTTTCCGCCGACATGAGTTGCCGGAGAAGTCGTTGATCGTTGCTTCCGGAACCCGCGGATCGATCGAACGACCTTCCCATACAATTGCGTTTTCGAGTAAGTATTTCCTTTTGTTTGCTGCTTCAAGTCGGGAAGCGCACGAAGGGTTCGTAGAAGTGTAATCGCTGGTCTCCACGGCGAAGTATCCGAGCGTTGTTGGCGGCCACGAAACCATCGTAGGATTCCATCGTAACTTACACACAACTTCCGATTGTTTCGCTTGGAGTATTCGGATATTTTTTTTTTAGGCTTCGTCCAACGCACGTTTAGCGTAATAGCATAAATCATATACACTTAGCAAACAGTTTATGTTGATTTGCGCTAAAGCGCACAGCCAAAGCAAAGCAAAGCGGAAAAAAATACCTGGCCTCGTCGCGTGATGCTTGTCACTACGTCAACGTTGAGCGATTGCAGCGCCCCAGTCGGTCCCACTCGAGGCTAATGGCCGAAATCAAGGTAAGAGCCCGTCATGGCCACCTATAGAGAGCTTAGATTACACTGAGTTTCCAACTGCTCGATCCGGATCTCGTGGTCCTCACCAAGCAACAACGCGGCGCATGCTCACTGACGACCAAACTTCGCAGAAGGCGTCCTCCATGAAAATGCAAGCGCTTCTCAGGGTTTGAGTTGAACCTCAGGTTCTCAAGCCGCCTGAGGTATTACGTGCCGCAATCTGTCGGCTGTTGTTCCCAATCAGACGCCTTTCGTTGGCAGACGCACTCCATATGTAGGGATTTCAAGTTTTGTTTTATTTGTAACTTTTTACTCAGTTAAGTTTGTGAAATGAAAGTTTTGTGCCCTTAATGAACGTTCTTCGGCCACTTCTGTACAAAATCTCAACTTGTTACGCTCTCAAACCAATTTATCCGGTCAATCCAAACAGCCATCGATCCCTTTGCATCACGCTGTCAATATGAATACAATAAACAAAAATAACAAGAAAATCGTGGGCTATTAGGCATTAACCAACAAAGGGTGCATATCTGGCACACCCTAGCCAGAAACACTTAAATAATCATAAACAAAGTGAAGTTATTTTTTCTTTTTTTTTTTTTACACGTATTTTAATTTTGTTTGCACGGCGACTTCTTCGCGATAAGCATTCGTCAACTCGAGGGGGCACCTCGCTCAGGTTCCAATACACAAACTTTCGCTTTTCTTCGGAGCCACCGAGACGAATGTCAAGCGGGTACTAATGTATTCCCACTTGAGACTTTTATGCACAGCACATTTCCGAACCCATTTCGCAAAACGTACTATATTTGGTTTACCATTTAAAATAGTATATTTAGGTAAAAACATTACAAAAGGAAATTGCCGTCTATACTTGCCGAAAATAAACTCCATAAAATCCCCCATGTGTCTGAAACAAAAATCCTAAATTTTATGTAACATTTGTTCGCCTTCCACTGTTGATATTTTTATTTACTTCAACATTACTTATGTCATAGTATTACTTTGGGGTTCATGTTTTGAATCTTTCGGCACTCTCCAGTATTCGTACGTGGTCACCGCACACCACAACCCACTGCACAGGAAGCAGGAGGCTCCAAGGAACGTGAACATGGTGACGTACGATCCAAGTTTGTCTCTGAAGTAACCTGTAAAATAAAAGGAAAATGCAAAGCACACTATCAGCGCATTTGAGGGGATTGACATCAGTGTCGACGGTATAGACCGTGACACCTTGATGAAACGTACCGACAAGCGCCGGTCTGCTGAGCAGGACCCACCCGCCGAAGAACGTCATCCAGCCCGACGAGAGAGCAATCCATTCAGATCCCAGGTAATCCTTGATGATGTTGGTGAAGAGCACCACGGTACTACCGGCAACGCACGCGAACACAAGCATGACGACCATGAGGGCGGTTGTTCCTTTTAAATGCGCTAACCCCACCAGGAGCGTCGCTAGGAGGAAGTATTCGATCACCATCATCTTGTTCCTAGATAGATAGCCGTGGTCCGTAATCCATCCTGAACAAAGCCTTCCTACAAGGTCGCCCACGGCGACGACGTTCAGGAGAACCACCGCTGTTCTTTCGGGCACGCCCTGGTCAAGAGCGAAGTCCATAATGACGCTTAGTACCGTTGTGTTGCAGTATCCGACAACAATGTTCGAGACACCGATCACGTAGAACATGGGTTGCTTGAACACGAACGATGCCTTGGCTACAACGGACATCGCATCTCCCATGATATCCTCCGTGTCTTGGAGATGATTGGGTGCATTGTTTATTTTGCAGGACTCGTAGCACAACTCTTGCTTTGGCTGATCGCCGTTGGATCGAATTGTGATTAGCTCGATGTTGCAGGCAGTAGAGTCCGTGCAACGATCACGCATCAGCAGAAGAAATGGCAGAGCGTTAAGGACAACGCCAGAAAAAATTAAAAAGCTCCCGTGAAGCCCGTACTCTTTGTAGCTCCAGTTGAAAAGAGGAATGAAAGCAAAGGACCCGATGGCTGGTCCAGTGTACAGGATGCCGATCGCTGTTGTCACGTGACGATCGAAGTAGCTTGCCACAAGAGGAGATGTGAGTGTGTAGTGGAAGCTCATGCAGATGCCTGTAATAAAGCAAAGAAAATAAACAAAGCATATCTTATAGAAAAGGTCGTCTCTTTCCCGCAATGCTTTGGCAAAAGGAGCGGTAACACAAACTTTATTGCGCGTTTCTTCCTGGTGACGTTGCACATAGATACTTGCTACGCATTTTATGCCTCAACGGTGTGAACATTGTTGTGTGCTACGTCTCTGAATGAAAGCACTGCCAAATCTTGCACACCATCATGGTACGCTAAGTTCGCGTCTTTTGCGGTTGCACAGTCCAAATTTTTCCCGCTACATCGCGCTCCCTGTATCCTCCGAAGCATGTATTCGTTCTCGTCGCTATCGATTTCTGCACGCACTCGCACACACGTCCGAACACGCTCGATCAGCATATCATAGACCAGGTTGTGGTATGACCGCTAGTCATCGGGCTCTCCACTCTTCGTATATCGCGTGCAAATCCACTCGTTCATTTGGCTGCTACGCTGTCTACCAAGCATAAATGCAACAGTTATTCGCGATAATAAGTTGGCGTAAGTCTTCATAACGTCATCCAGTCCTTATCAACGTCTTCTGTCCTGCGACCCACCGAAATATGCAATATTTATAATAGCTTGTTGAGTCGGGACCTTCCCGACTCCACACGCTTTTGCATTTTACTGCATAAACACAGTTAACGCTAAAGATAGATTTGACTGGTAATATGGTCAGAGTAAATTAGCCGGTGTAATTAACCATAAATAAATGGAACAAAAAGCACATACCAGCAGGTATGACAGATCCCTGATCATATCAAATCAAAAATCAAATCAATCACCAAAGTGAGCCTTTTTGTTAGAGCGCAGTTTGTCAAAACGAGGGCGGACTTTGGTCACCGTAACTCTTTGTTCCAGCTCAATGTTAAGCTGTGACATGTAAGTTTTTCATCTTCGCAAACGCAGGAAAGTGAACATCAAATTATTCAAGTTCTAGGGCTGCTTCGTATCATCGCACTGAACCTGCCACGATCTTTATTGGGTCGCGACCCACAGTTTTGACAAACAATGATGTAGCCAATCGTAGTTGAACGTTACTATCTGAACTTCACTCAATATACGATTTAACTATAGGCACTGTATTCTGTAGTTAAGAGGCGTATGTGAGACCCACAGGAATTTCTTAAAGGGTACTGAAACGAAATTCTTTAGCCTCTTTTATTGTCTAAATGTTAACCATATTCTGGCCATATCACAGAGACGACAATTGCTTGCTCGAAAAGACACCAAAACATTAATCAAAACTAAAAACCCGAATGTCGCCATGTCACACTCGCGCACACGCGGCAAGCTGCGTGCGCGTTATTCTTGTTGAACTTGGCCGAACCTGATGTTTCTTCTCTCCCGCGTCTATTTACATCCTGCGGGGATCGGGGAGCGGGCATCACGAACCGCCACGTTCTAACGCGTTTACGTCACCAAGCGGCAAAGCTCACAACCACGGAAGTTTCCATGTAACCTTGCCAGTAAAGAAAAACTTGACCTAGAAGGTGCTGAAGGCGCCGGCCTTTTGGAACTAAAAACAGCCATCCGTTCAAAATATGAACGTGCGCTTGTCATTCACAGATTTCGTTGGTCGTGTTTAACTTATCCCTGAAGATGAGAGGTATATTGCAATGTTTATTTCAGTATACCTTAAATTCCTTGACGTACTATTTAAGAAATTTCCAGTTGTGTAGAGGTCCGTCATAGTTTTCTGTGAAGTTTTGACGAAATGTTCAAGAATTTCCGAAGGGTCTTAAGCATCCGTAATAGCATCATTCTAAGCGGCATGTGGGGCCTGTCACAACCTTTTCCCGGGAAAGTATGTGCCCCATCAACATAGTTTTTGATGTGTCTGTGAGTTGTGCCACGGCTTTTCTCATGCAAAGTATGTGACCAATAAAAATAGTTTTAGTGGGTCTGGGGGAGATTACTACATTTTAATGAAATAATTAATGCTCAATTCTCTATATCTCTTTTAAGAGTGAATAAATCTTAGTGTTTTCGTGTTGCCAATGTATTCATTGGCAACACGGAACTAATACACTCCCCCTCGTGAAATATGTTAGAACGAACGTATTTGAGGGTAATAAACTTGAACTTTGACTTAAGATGACGTGACCTTTCAGGGTATACGAGTATGCGTCGGTGAAGCCGCTTGGCCAGTTTGAATCGGGCAGCCGCTACGACGGTCGCTCAATGTCGTCTTCCCTTCCCACACGTGAAATATATTTCCAGCAGCAGCTTAGTGTGTGGATAAAGTTAATTTCTTAATGTCCGGTTTTTTTCGCCTATTGGTTCGTCCTGCTTTCGCAGTGAGCGAAAAATATGCTCGTGATAACACCGTGGCCATGCTCACGATTTTCTCAATGGCGACCGGCTTTATTTTCGTGTTCGTGGTCTTCTTAAATTGTTTTACTGATAGTGTGTGTATGCATGGTCCACCCCTCAGTCTTAAAATTTAACACCCGTATACATCAAAAATTGTCCCCGCAACATGATGAGTATCTCGAAACATATTTTGGGGGACAACGAACTCGGTTGCCGTTATTTGGCCTGGTTGCCTAGCAGCACCTACTTGCACCCAGGTTTGAGTCACACACGTTGGTTTGTATTATTTTTCTAAGTTTCAACATTAGGCGAAACTGAATGTCTAAACTAGACTTCTAATGACATCGTAAACAGCTGCTAATTGGATTTTGTGTTCCACAGTTATTTTGGAAGTCTAAACATTTCAAGGGCTGAGATTGTCTGAAAGGTTGAAAGGCCTGACGGGTTGAAAGGGTTGAGGGGCAGAGTCTGCCATTACATATCAGTCCTGAAGGATTTTTTTGTTACTAGAGTTCCCCGATCGTCTTGTGGGCACCGGCATTTTGTTGGTTAGTGCTGAGCGGGTGCGATTACCGACAGTTAAGAGTTGCGAATGCAAATGTTGGTGCTTTAAACGGTGTCATAAAACTCGGGTGACGTAACGCTATCTCGAGGTCTGTTTCAATCTTATTGGAGGACGTAAAAGCATTTTCTGCTGGTTGAGATAAACCTTGATACAACTGGCAACTGATTTTAAGCACCATAATGACTGAAGTGCGATAACTCTGAGGCGTAGCTTATTCAGTTGCCCTTAGCCTAAGGTTATGAGAAGGGTTCCGTGGTTTCGTTAAATACCGATCAAACCTGAAAGGAACCGCCTTTGGGAAAATCGGGGAAAACCGATAAGCCCAAGCTGTACTTGAAAAGCAAAAAACCCAAGCTGTACTTGAAAAGCAAAAAAACTCAAGCTCCAGGGGTAGACACGTTTTGTCTAGATATATATGTTCTGTTGACTCTGAACGCGGCCTCTTATAAACTCTCCAAGTTTTCGTGTTCCTTCATAACAAAATCATCGTATCTCGTTTTCTGTTCTTTATTGGTACGCGGACGTTTTCCAAATATGTTCGTGTTGCATTTCTTTAACATAATAAGTCCTGATAAATCCTCATTTTTCACTGTCAGCAAATATTAGTATCGAAAAAAAAACCGACTCTCGGGGAGAAAATGAAACACGAAACACCTCGCGAAATTTGAATAAAAATTGACCCCGTGAACACGTAACCCTAGTTACGAGAATTCTAGTTACGACCTCGAGTCGCCGGGACGTTCATACATCGTGTGAAACTTGACAACTAGCTTGGCACGCGGTCTGCGAAGCACGGGTGTGCCGGTGACTTGAGGGACAATCACGTAGTACAGAACGGACAAGAGCGTTGCGTCACTATACGGCATGACTCGTGATCGGTCAGTGACACGCCCCTTCTGGCCAAACCCTGACGTAGTATTCCTGTGAAGCTCTTCAGTCACTAGAATGCAAAACCGAAACCCGCCACCTGCCAACCACATATAACAGATCCTGTTAAAAATGGCCCTCCAGAAAAAAAGTTTTCAATTGTGTTTGTACTAACTTGGTTGCGAAGTTAGCTTTTTTTTTATAAATCATATAGGAACACTTAAATGTCGGTTTTAGTTTAGATGGGAACTGATAAGGCACATATCTTGGTGATGCTATTTGGTTTACCATTTGTTTTTACATAACAACGCAAAAAAACACTGGGCTGATGTTCTCGTGACAGCACTTTCTCTTCACGTCCGTTTATTTTATTCTAGAATAACATAAGTCCTTAGTTATCTTTCCAATAAAACCAGGAGAGATCTATTAATTTCGAAACAATTAATAAAAGTAAGGTGAATCTAAATATTTCTTAACAATATCTGAGAGCAAGGTAGAATAGTCATCTATGAAACAATAAACGTAACCAACATGAAGGCAAGAATGCACACTGCACGGCATCGTTTGTATTAAGTTTACTTCTACACTTCGCTGCGGCAATACTTGAGAACACAGAACGCATCTACTAAATTACTGCCATGCTACTTTCTATTGTGCGAAAAATAAATTTTATGCCGAACGCAGTAAAGCTATATGCACCGCGGAGGGCTTTGTTGTCATGCAATTTTACCAATTGTACATTTTCATATGGCATAGCTTACCTGCTATAACTTTTTGTAATTCGTTCGTTCATTTTCTACTTATAAATACAATAATGAACATTTAAACCCACTTATTTTTCTGGCTCTTGTGAGACTAGACTTTTAATGAATAAAGGGTTCAATTGTTTTCAAATCATTTAGGAATTCGCTTACTCCCAATACCAAATTTAATTAAAATTCTGTGGCTATAAACTTATTTTAAGATCCCAATTAGTGTGGTAACTGCTGATGGTAGAAAATATAAAATTGAAACGGCTGCGAAGTAAGTTTAGCGTGTTGCTATAACCTACTTTAGTTAAGTGATTATTTTAAGCATTACTGATGTGACCTATTATTGGAGATGGATTAATTAACCGAAATTGCTGTTACATTACACTGAAAATTATATTAAAAATCTTGCTCTAAGTCAGTGATAATACCGTTAGAGCACAATGGTAAAATTGTAGCTAGCATCCCTGGAAATATTCACAATTTCTCACCTTGTATCGCACCAAGCCAAATCGAGATTTCCAAAATACTGCTGGCGAACTGGCACATTGCAACAGCAGCAAACCCAAGTAAAGTCGCCCAGATGCAAAGGGTTCGCATAGTGAAATAGTGTACGAGGAGTCCAGCGACAGGACCTGAAAATGCACAAAGGCTTCATTATTGCAAAACCTATGTTAATAGCCTTGGATGCCTTGCATTTGTATGTTGGTGCCGGCCTAAAAGAGTCAAAAGCCTTATTGACAATTTTGTCGAATTTCGCATTAAACACCAAAGCTACGAAACGTCGTGTTACTTAACGTAAGGAGGCAATATACAGATCAAAAATAAAGTCAAAATCATGCCTTTTTTATTTGGTAGAAACACTTGTTAGTATAATGCAGAGCTTATCCAGGCATGGTTCCTAACATTTGCAAAAACCTCTTAAAGATTACGTCTAACTCTCTCGCTAACGTGAGTAGGCAATTTAAAATATTATCAAAGGGTTAATTTAAAAAAGAAAAGAAAAAGCCATTGAAAAAAAAACGACAACACTGACATTCAATACATCAGTGCCAACAAATGCTATTGCCTGTGACTAGTGCTTGTTGAAACTGAAATATAGCAGGAAAAAGTGTTAGTGCACTCTAGTTTTTTTATGTCATAAGTTATTAATATAAAACATTATAAACAGTGATTTGTAGTGTCCTCTGGCCCCACTTTATGATCGTTAACAAATCGTCATGCTAACACCACCAGACCGCGCGATTGCACTCCTAAACGTATAAGTTTTTTTTAGAATTTAGGGCTCAATTTATATATATTTCTTTCTAAGATTACCATGCCTCTCAACATGAATGTTGATAAATTGCTACGCACATTTTGAACTTTTTCAACTTATTAGACTGTTCAGTGCAAATCACAAAACTTGAAGAAATCTGGTGCATCTACTTTCTCACAAAGCACTTTGGGGAGTCAATCGTTGCGACTTTAATCTCGGAGAGGTAGGCGAATGACGATGCCGACGTTATGTTGAATAGTTCATTTGAAATTGAACACGCGTGTCAGGGGGGTCATTTTGATTTGCCTAAAACAAATTATATACTATAGCCTCATACTATAGCCTCATATTCGCAATCAACAAAAACCCTTTTAAGAGTTTTGTGGAAATAATATTTTTCTCTATAAAACGTTTGAAGAGGAACAAGGTGAAATGGTACATTTAGGTTGCTTAATTTTTGTGCCCAGTTCTGTCGGTTCCTAGAAATAGGTTGAAAGAATACACTCACTGTACTTTTTCTTGTAAATGCAGTATGCATAGACAATGTTTCGTTTAAACTTCCGCGCTTTGGTATACTTGACGACCGAAATACAAAAGGCTAAACATTGCACCCTCAACCTTTCGGTGACATATTTGGAACCTTATATATTGACATTCAATATATATATTGCTTATTAGCTACTATAATCCTTTAGGTTTACACATGTTCTATCGGCTGCCGCTACATTATGTTTCTTTTGACAATAATTTGTATAACAATTTAAATTTTCGTAACAAAACTAACTTTAGTTATATTTCGACCCGCGGTTTAAGATATAATCGCTCTATAGCTCCCAATAATGCTCACGTTCCTTGGACCTAACCAAAGTTCCCTTTTTTGTATTTTCGGTGGAATTGCTCAAAAACAGAAACATTCACCCGCATCAGAATTCTGAAGAAGTTTCAAAAGATGGCTTTGCTGCTAGGTGCTTTAGCCTTAAAATGTTAAGTGTTTCAGACACAACGGAAAGTGGCGACGGGGAGGGGCAAGGCGAGAAAGTTGTGCGGACGAGCCCCCATTAGGAAAAAATAGCTGTCCCTATGCGTCCGCTGTTCTAACGCCAAGGGCTAGGCATGTTTCTTTTTTTGCTTTTGATGAGAAGAGGGGGGAGGTAGTTCTAACTAAGACACTTGAGTCGGGCTGCACATTTTTGTTTATCTCAGCTAGTATATATAGTAATTCTTTATCATCTCGTCTGTATTCCCTCTGCTGTAAAAAAAACAACTGAGAAGAGATCTTCAACCGGTAGTCTTTGTATTACGGCTATCATTCCAGTCCCCCCCCCCCTTGAGCATTTGGAAGGTGCTTGTCTGCAGTTTTATAAATGACTATAATATCTTTCACAAATTTGAACATATCTCCTTAGGATTGTCGATATAAATTGAAGATATACCGAAATGGAAGTGAACGTTTTCGCTCTGTGAAAAAGCACCTCGACGTGGATCTGCTGAGGTCAGTCTTGCCCCCTTACGGCGCTGGTGCAATGAGTTATACTAACGTGCTTTGGCCAAAATTGCTTCGCAAGCCTGGCTGAAACATTTGCATGCTGCCAGTAAGTGGACCTCAAGTTTGTGCCTAAGTGTAATTTCCAAGCATGACATGCCCAGGTACGTTAAAGAAGCAATTCCTGGCGGCAGATTAAACACGACTCCACGGAGAATCCTGTCGGCGTATAAAAAAAATCCCTAACAGTCGGAGCTGAAAAGAAAGTAAGAGAAACTAGAGGCCGCGTTCAGGTGACATTTTGTTTTACGAAACTAACCATTACGTCTTACACAAAACCAAACAAGTGATACTTCCCGCTTATTGCTTATGCTTCGCGTGTGATAAGTTGTGGCTCAATGTACGTAAACATTTTGTAACATCACTGCTCAGACGGGAGAAATGCCAGCTTCAGATACTCATTTCTGTCAGCATTACGGTAATTCCCGATTAATTCCCTAAGCATTATACTACCTGCTGTAACTTGGTTAAAATCCGCGCACAAAGAGACGAGTACAAACGAGGAAGGAACACAAAACACAGATAGGCACACACTCAAAACTCTGGTGTATTAAGTGAAGAAAAGGAAGATGACGCACAATTTTTCAGCGGACAACGGTATTCGGGGGTAAACAGTTCAGTTGCAGTCAAATGATCGCAAGAAGGCAACTTCTTTTTCGCTCAAAGCTATCGACGTCTGACTAACGCAGCGATCGGCCAGGCTCAAGATGGTGAACGCCTCGAGCACCTCGCGCGTTTGCTTTTCTTTAAAGCGGCCAATGATTGATGTTTTTTCTGGGGATGGCGTGCACGTACAGGTCATACAATGCACCGAAAGGTGACCTCCTACAGTGGATGTTAAAGAAAGTTTGTGCTCTCGTAGCCGGTCATTCAGACACCGTCCCGTCTGTCCAACATAGCATCTCCCACAGGAAAGAGGAAGGCTATATACAACGCCCGATGGACAGGGAACATAAGGTCGCACATGTTAGTGGCAGGTGTGTTTTTATAAATGTTCCTCTTTCTCACGAACCTTAGAACACATTGGTCGCATTTCTAGGGGCTGATAATACTGCAGGCACACCATAACTACTTGCCACTTGTTTTAAATTATGTGATAAACTTTCGTAACAAAATTAATTTCAGCCATATCTTAACCCACGTGGTAAAGATGTAATCCTTCTATAGCTCCCAATGATGTTCACTTGCTTTGGACCTAATCAAAGTACCCTTTTGTTGTATTTTCGGTGGAACTGCTCAAAAACAGAAACATTCACTCATATCGGAATTTTGAAGTAGTTTCAAAAGATGGCTTTGCTGCTAGGTGCTTTAGCCTTAAAATTTTAAGTGTTTCGGACACGACGGAAAGTGGCGGCGGAGAGGGGCAAGGCGAGAAAGTTGTGCGGATGAGCCCCCTTTAGGAAAAGATGTGCGCTATTTTTTGTGCGCGACTTTTAACCAAGTTCAACGTTTACCAACTCGCCCAGCTAACTACTTTACTACCTGCTGTAAAAATGGGCACAACTCCAGATTTACTTCAGTACATAAAAACTTGTGAACTTTTACCGTACGGGGAAGGTGAACCTCTAGGTATTGGACTTGGCCACTGAAGAGTGCAGAAAGATAATCTGCAGTGTTTCATTCGAATTCCAAATATGAGACATGTCGTGAAAGTAATTAAGAATTGTAACCTACTTAAAATCCGTCTATAGGGCCCACCAAGTTTTTTCAAATGTTTTGACTTACCTTCCGAAAATGTTTAAGGGGTTTGAGGTGTTTGCCGAAGTTTTCTAAGGGGCCTGGCGTACCTCTTCAGAATTCCTCAAGGGTGTACAAGAACCGTGACAGTTTTTGAGGGGTCTACGGGGTCTTTCTTAATCCTTTTCGTAAAACCACAGCCCCCATCAAAGTCGTATAAACGGGTCTGTGGGAAAGATCACGCGACCCTTCAGGATATGTACGTCGGAGAGGCCGCTTGGCCGTTTCGTATCGGGCGTCCGCGACGAGCGTTTGAAATTGAGGAGTCGTTTCCCTGTACCTATTTGCTGTGTCTGTGTGTTCTGTGTATGGATTTCACGGGCTGGACTAGACAGCGAGAGAGCTGCCGTTTTCCAGACGCTCAAGAACACCCAATCCTTGCCCACGAGAGAGAGAGAAGGTGCGCGACAAAAATGAAAGGGTGACTTTTTGTTGCTAGTTTGAAGATACCGATACCCTGTTTTAGTCAGTCCAAATACAGCCTTCGTAAGAAGCTGGTCGTTCTGTTTTTCCTTCGACAACGAGCGTAAACTAAATGCGCAAGAATCGAGTGGGCGCTTGGTGTTGGCATCCCATCCCATGCGTAGGCCTATCATCTAGAGCAGCTGGGTGTGCGGATCAAGAAGTCTCTCGGTGCCCTGTTTCCCTGGCCTCTTCGTCCGTCCGACTTCAGGAGCATCCAACGATCAAAAAAGACGCCGGACACGCCACCACGGCGCCACCATGGGACGACCCCGTGACTGCGCTCAGGATTTCTCAACGGCGGCGGATGTGAGCTGCGTCTTCGTGGTTTTCGCTAAACGGTGCTACTTACAATGTTTATCTGTGCGTGCGGTGCACCTGCTCGGTTTTATTCGTTGAGCTACTGTACATTTCGTGAATTGGGCCTGCGGAATTGTGAGTACCTTGAAATATATTTTTTTGTGACAAAGAACTCATGTGTCCCTATTTAGTCTGATCGCCTTTGTCTACACCTGTTTGCGCTCGGGTTTGAGTAAACGTGGTTCTTATCGTCTTGTTCTTTTACAATGTTTATGTACAACCCAATGTGCAAAATAAATGTTAAATGACCTTCTAAGCTGCCTTTTTTGGTCTACGATCCACAGTCCTTTTCGCGTCTCCGGGGCTAAAGGGCTGAGAGAGTCTGAAAGGCTAAAGGGCTTGAAGGGCTGAAGGGAGAAAGTGGCTTGAACGGCCTGAAGGGTTTGATGGGCTAAAGAGGTTCAAATCGCTGGAAGGTTCCACAACATATCAAGGCTCAAGTGTTATTCTCAAGAGGAAAGAGGAGAGTCGTAATCAGGATATACATATTAATGTATGTTTGGAATATCTGCCTGATGCTTTGGAATGCCAAAACAGAAATTACAACAATTTTTTCACTCCGTCTAGAATGAATGAAGATCAGCTGAAAGCAAGCAGTGTTCCTGCGCGTGCTATATCAATGTCTTTTTTTTTTGGTACTAACTCAAAAATAAATTTCAAAGCAAAAACTGTTCTCCATGAGCGTTTTACAACTCTAACCCTATCGGATTCGTGTTCAGATGTTTCATAAGGGACGTTCATTCTGATATATCTTATTTTTATGTTAGTAATCCTATGGAGACTCGACCAAATCTGTGAACGTTAGACCAGTCACTGTTAAAACTGGACAAAAGTAAGTTCGAGTATAAAATGTTGGAGCAGCTAGGGGACTGTAATGCTGGCGACACCACCAGGTCTATTTTTTTGTTTTAGATATCATCTGGTTTTAACAACCGTTAAGATTGAGTCGGTGAGTTCTTTGAATAGAAGCGAACATGACAAACCGAAGAGCACGAGCAACAGTAAGGGTAACAATTATGGTATATAATAAACTGGTATAAAAGACATGTGTGTTAATTCTAATAATTATAGTAATTGTAATATTGCTAATAACAATAACAATAATATTAATAAGAGTAATAAAATAATAATGATAAAATATAATATTAATTTTAAATAAAACAATAATATGAACAAAAATAATAATAATAATAATACAAAACGCATGAACGGCCAGTAACGCCATAAAGCAGAAGAGTACGTACTGGGAGACACTTTTTTCCCAATGGCAGCACGTACACATAACCCTCTCTCTAAACCCATCTCCACCGCCATTTTCAAAAAGACGACAGATCATGGGCGCGAAGCAAGTGGCTACGACTCAAGCACTTATCAAATCTCAGGCAAGCTACCCTTGATTTACTGGTAGGTTCCATAAGATCCGGGTTCCATCACCCCGTCTATAGAGGGTTACTCGTCCAACGCAGGCAATTCTTTGATAAAAATACATGTTTTAGTTCACTCACTCAGTTACGCTTTCACCTCCGAAACCCGTCCGACCCCCTACCTTTAGCATTTTAAGGCTAAAAGACCTTGTAGTAAAGCCAACTTGCGATACTACCCTTTGGCCGATTCGGGTACATGTATCTGTGTTTAATCACTTCTACAGAAGTCGCAACAAGGAGGGGGAAGTTCAACTATGGGCTGAAAATATTTAACATCATCGGGTACAATAAAAAAATAAAAAAAGTAATTGCCTTTTAACTAAAACTAGTTTGCGTCATTGGTAAATTTATGTTTGATGAAATATAGACACATAAATTGTTTCATTAAAATAAATTATACAAAGCGGCTCCAGTCAATAGCACTTGTATAAGCCTACACGAATTAGTGTTTTAAGTGTAAAATATATGATGAATTATAAGATACAAGGCTACAAATATCTCACCAAAACGTCAAAGATGCGATGTATGGCTTTTTTATACTTCTGGCATAAAACATGCCAAAGCACTTTCGTCTAAAGACAAAAATAGATTATGCGTCATACATTGGTATTAAAAAGCTCACTGTCAGTGTTTTTGTCTTGCCTATTTATAACAACCGACATAACTGGGTACAGCAATCAAGCAACCCAGATGTAACACCTAGCCTTGCTCAGCGTCAAACATTTTGTAAAAAAAAAAAAAAAAAAAAAGCATTTTTCTAATAAACTTTAGAAAAGTGCGCTTGTTCATTGCAAAGAAGGGGTTTTGATACTTAACTTATCTTAAGCAAGTCTAAATACGTACCTAGACATCCGTGCTCGAGTTCAAATTAACGAAGGTATCGGGGTTAAACGTTAATATAACCGTCTATGTTGAAACCCTGAGCATGAAAGAATATCATGCTCAGTGCTAGAGGGCACACTTTATAGATTTGTTCACGGTACAACCAGGTGATGCAGCTGTTAAAATACCGCTTCATGTAAAAAAAAAAAAGAAACACGAAGTCACTTAATACGGGTCTGCTCACCTGTCATGCATGAGGAGACGCTGAAGAGAGACACGGGCCAAGACGCTTGTTCCCTAGACATGTGAAACTCGTCCAGAAAGGCCACGTACATGACGCCCGAACAGCGGAAGGTCCAGGTGATGCAGCTCATGACCGCACTGCCGGCCAGAGCCACGAGCCAGCTGCGTGGCTCGTCGGGGCCGCAGACGTAGCACTGGGACCCGCGAACCATCCGTACGCCTCTGTCTGCGAAAATACGGCTCGTAAAAATCCAAATAGTGGAGCCGGGTGTCAAGGGAAGAACGCGAAAAACGTTATGCCATACAGGTCGTCTGTGGCTTGATATAATACTTTCAAGCCAGTCCATAGTAGCTATGAAAGTCAATTTGAGATTATTCTGCATTTGCTCTCATACACGAGTTATATTATCTCTCGACCTGTCAGAGGTAAAGCAATTCAACCTAAACATTGCGCTTTTTTATTAGTTTAGACCGCAGCCTTTTTCAGAGTCAGAAGCTACTCAAAAGGTGTCTGGACAACTGTCGCTGCTCATTTGATCCACAACAATACGTCTGTATTAAAAGGTACAAACAGCCCCATTGCTGATTCCTTTTCGCTAAAATATTCCGGTGCGCAGACTCACAAAACCTTTGAACCTTTCTGAAGCTGAGTCGTGTGCGTTTTTTTTTTTTTTTATTATTTTATTTGTAGTAAACTTCCCCAACGTATTTATTGAAATAATCATTATTCTTACAATTTCAAAGCGTCTTTTGCCGCTGGCTTTAGTCGTGCCATTATGGGTGACGATGTTGATATTCCGTTTTATTTTAAGGACGAGCGAATACATTCCTCTGAATTAAACACTTTTTGAATATGAAGACGAAACAAGTTTAAAGCATAACTTATTGGGAGAGTCTGCCGCGCACGTATGTTCACTAAGTACGTTAGCTGTAATAAAGTTTGACCTCCCCCTTTACCAGTTTACTTAGGAATACCACAAGCAACCGAGCTAGGGCCTCTTTTATTCTTTATTTATAACAAATTATATAGCAAAAGGTTTCCTTCCTTTGTTCAAGTTTAATTGTTCGCAGACGACCGTACTGTATTTTCCTAAGTGGCTGCAGTTCAGGACCAGGAAATTCTCAACCTGTCCCTGGAAGAAATCTTCTCGTGCAGTAAGAAATGGGGTACAGTAAATAATGTTTATAGAACAGACTTTTCCAGTATTACAAATAAGAATATAATCTTACTCTTCCGCTATTTTATAGGAGGCATTAAACTTAATAAAGTAGAATAATTTAAGTACTTAGGAGTTATTTTAGCTAATACCCTACGCTGCAATTGTCCTGTTGATTATATATGCGCCAAGGCTTAGCATATGTTAGGCTTTCTTAGAAGGCACCTTAAACATGCAAATAGAGATGTTAATTAGCTGCATATAAATGTTATGTACATACGATATAGGAATATGTGAGGTGCGTATGGGACACATACAGGAAGCCGCAGGTCGCGCAAATAGAACGCATACATAATCTGGCATTTCGGTTTCCTTTTTCTGAGGACAGAAGCACTGAAGCGGTTATGCAATAAGAAATAAAGTGCGTCTTGACTGTTTAGAAAAAAAGAAGGAAAGTGCGTAGAATAAAGTCATTATATTCTATGGCCAATGGCTTGACGAAGATTAATCCTGAAATGTACATTTTACATTCAGCATCGCGCTCTAAAAGGACGAGCAATACTAAAGTGATTTTACCCTACCTGTACAGAAATTATGTATTTAGATGCTCTTAATTTTTGTTTTCGCCGAGCTATTATTGAGTGGAACGCTCTTGACCTTGATATCTTGATCATGCGTGGGCAGCTATAACCTGCCTGCGCTCGCTTCAGGCGGTAAGTTCGGGATTGAATTTGTTTTGTGTATGTTGTATTTTCCCCTTTTTTGTAGACCGAAGGTCCACGATATTTTAAATTAATAAATGAAAGACAAGACAGCATGCTCGAGCTGAAAGCATATGTAAAATTATATTGGTGCATTTCTCATCATACAATGTATACAGAGATTCGTATCTATGCTACCTATGATATATTTTTGCTCTCTGGAACTTAACTCAAGCGAGCACTTAGGAAAGGCCGAGATGAATCGAGTGAGAGAGGCATCTGATATAATGTAACATATACATTTCAAAAATTTCTCGTTGATGCGCTAGGTTAAAAAAAAAAAGCGAAAGGCATGTTCGAGAATAAAATAAATTAATATTAAAGACGTGGATAATTTCGCCATACAGCAATGTTATTTGTATCAGTAATTATTTCCCTCCATGGCGTGTCTTTGTGTAGTCGAGCGCCCGTATCTTGCCTTGTATTTTTCTAAAGAAATCAGGAATATTAAAAATAGTTTCCCCTGGTGTTTCGGGAAATAATATATTTATTAAATAATTAAAATAGGTTTGTGCTTTATTGTTTTCTGAGAAAAAAAGTACATGAAAATGGTATGTTTCTTGAGTAATGAAAAAGTTCAAATGCTTTCTTTTTTTTATTTGAGACAATCACTTTTTCAATTATGCTAAAATCATGTATCTTGCAAAACATATGTATGTGCCTCACTGAAAATGCTATGTACACTTCAAGCACCAGGTGTCTGTATATTAAAATACTATAGTTTGTATATTTATTCTGCACAAGTACAGACTGATGGCCAGCTTTAATTTTGAAAACAAAAATTAGATAGCGGAGCTCCTCTCAGAAAGTTATCAAGCTCTGCCTGAATTGCAAGCAGTAAGGACATTTTGTTACATTCTTTCCGCAGCCCCTTACGCAAAACATTCTTAAACTCCAACCTCCAAGTTAAGCTGTAGCAAACGTTGCGACCTTATTTGAAATGATCCGTCTGGATCATAAGGCTCTGTAGGGAGTCACCAGTTGTGCAGCGATCGAACTGCGAGTCATCACCGGACCATAAACTTTTTGCAGACTTCATGGAAACCCGTCAGGTCACTGCGACCCTGGATTCGGGTTTTACAAAAGTTTCGTGAAGGAAACCGTTTGCCAAGGAGATCATCTGGCACCTTTCAAATCTTCCCTTAAACGAGGTGTGGTAAATGTGCAGCCACTTTAAAATATTAGAGGAGTGAGTGTCGAAGTTATATTGGACGAAGAGTCATGCCGACGGACTTCTGAGGTTGCTACGCACTTGGAAGAGGAGCTGTCCTGCTCGGAGAAGGCCTTTTACGCTTGTCAATGGCATTTATCGACTGGAATGCCAACCGTTTCTTTATTCGAACTAAAAAAAACACTCAAGTTATATGCGACAACTACACAAGTGATACCGCCCCTCTTAATGGAGGGGATTGAAGTGAAGTTGAGATTCCCTACCAGCAGGGCAAGCAGCGAGGCCCACTACATATCTACGTGACAATCTCTAAAGCAGCCATGAAGGCACACATTGGATCTACAGCGTACATTCATCAAGGCAAGAACAAGTGTTTTTTAAACTTTTGGCGATAAACTCATCTCTGAAGTCATTCATATCCCTGCGAAGGCTTCCTTGGGCATAGGGAAAAAAACTAGCAGCTGCCGAAACAATTGAATTATTTTATCTGAAGGAGAATCACTCCTCCAATGTTCCAGTTTTTGGGATCTAGAGAACCTGGAGGATACTGCAGTTCGCAAAGAAATCCAGCGAATAACAGTGCATGGTATGAGCTTTAATGTGGAAGCTTCAATGAATGCTAAGGAGCTAGAATACCGTTCTAGTTTTGATGCAGACACTGCACAGCTCAGGTCTTGTAAAGTAGAGAAGCAGTCTATTAAAGCTGGTGATGCAAAACCAATAGCCCAGTACTCAAGACGGAGTTCACCTGCTCAAAAAGATCGGGTAAAGTCAATCAGAAAAAAATTTATGCTTTAAAAAATAACCCAAACCTCTAAAATCTCTTGGACATCACCTCGTGTTCTGGTTAAAAAAACGACAAATGGACAAGAATTTTTGGACATTATTTGAACCTTAATGCAGTTACCGAAAACGTCATAAACTTTCTACCGAGAATTGGTAATACTTTTAAGGCATTAAATGGACGCAGGTACTTTTCGACGTTGGACCTTTTTTAAGGGTTCTATCACATAGAGATGGACCAATGGGACACTCGTAAGACTGCTTCTGATACGCAGTATGGTCTGCATAAATTACTAAAAGTGCAATTAGGGTTGAAACTCCTGCGACGTGTCAGCGAACTGTAGACGCCTTAACAGCGTTGCAAGCGTTGCCTAAGAAAAAGTAACAAAATACGTTACTCGTTGGCGGCAAATAAAAGGAACACGTTATCGACCTACGCTAACTCATGCTAAAAGGAACGCGTTACTCTTTTTAATTGTGTATTAAAGCGTTTTACTCCTTTGACGTCACAGATATGCCTTAGAGCCATATTTAAAAAAAAACATCATCTCATGTGGAAGTTAACATAATTACCTTATCGTTTTTACGGTCCCACCTAAATACTCACGAAAAAACGCTAATAAAACACCTGGAAACACGAAAAATATGAAGTGTAAGTTTTCTACGTCTTGTGAAGAATATGCAAGGAGTAACGTAACTACGTCACACGTCACTCGAAATAAGTCACGTAAGCACGTTACCCGTTACCGTTTTGAAAATGTAACGAGTACTTTACCACGTTACCGGAAAAAGTAATGCGTGACCGGTAGCGCCGTTACTTGCAACGCATTACCTCCAACACTGCCTATGACCTAAAGTACTGGAACTCACTAGTCTACATGGATGACTGCATTGTCTACAGTACTACTCTTCAGGGGCACCTCCGACAACTTAGTGAAGTTTCCGCACGTTTCAAGGCAGCATATCTCAAATTCAAGCCACCGACGTGCCATCTTTTTGCACCATAGTGGCCTAACATGGTCATATTTTCCTCCAGGAAGGCATTGCACCAAAGCCAGAAGAACTTCACACCTTAAAGCTATTTTGTGTTCCTCAAACCGTGGCTCTAGTTCACTCGTTCCTGAAATTGACATCATATTTCCAAAATTTCATTTGGAACCACAGCGCCATTTCAACTTCCCCTAAGAGGGCTCTTAAAAAAAAGTGAAGCCTTCATGTGGGGTGCCCCACGAGGGCACGCCTACGTGGATTGAAATTTGCGCTGTGTGCGCCTACTGTCTTCAATCATGTTTCCAAAGATTCCAGATAAGGCTTCCAGGTCCACACTGATGCTTCCAGAGTCGGCCTCGGGGCCCTACTCGTTCAGCAATGTAGGTTTAGAAAGAGTTATATACGTAAAGACAGGAGACGGGACGCCGCTTCGGTGACTGCGAAGCGAGAGCGCTGGCCTACGGATCCCAATGTGGCGAGTTCGAATCCCGGCCGAGGTGCCCGCAATCTGACGGAGGCTTATTGCGGAGGAGGCGCCGCGTAACCGAACTTTCGGTTGCACGTCCAAAGATCCCCAGGTGGTCCAAATTAATCCTCAGTCCTCCGCTGGGGCGTGCCAGATGCCCGTCGTTGGTTTGGCACGTAAAAAACCCCAAATTTGACCTTTAGGGGAAGGGACAACACAAAAATGTGTTGTCGCGTCCCCAGTCTTTACGTATATAACTCTTTCTAAACCTACATCATTACCAGCGCGCTCACTAACAAGTCCTCCAGGAAGGTGACGCCGGAGACTACACGCCAGTTATGTACCTTAGCCATTCTTTTCATAAAGCAGGAGTGAACTACACCTAAACTGAACTCGAAGCTCTTGCGGTTAAGTGGCCCTTGGAGACGTTACGTCCTTACGTGATGGGCAGGAAGCTTTAGTTCCTAAGGGATTATCACGCGCTCTGCTGGTTTCTTTGCTAAACGAGGGAAACCAGTGCTTGGTGCGATGGTATCTTCCACTGCATGAATTCAACTAGGAATTTTTGTGCAATACTGGCTCGTGATGTCCGGTACTCCAAGTCACATCTGCTAAAAAACAAATGAACGGACTGGCACTTAAAACGTCTATGCAGTCAGAAATCCAGACTTAAGCACCGCACGGATTGTTGTGTGGAAATATCATAAACATTTTCCAGAAAAAGGCTGGTGCAAAGAAACAGCAAAAAAGAGCGTCTAGAAAGTTCGTGATTTTAGCAACTTATTATACAAAAGGGATACGAGACTAGCTCTCGAACATTATCTTCTATGCTTGTCGAATACAAAGCACGTTGAAATACCGCCCGAATTTTATTGAGGGCAGTTTGGAGCGCATCACAGTAAATATTTCCGCCTTCGACTGTACCTGGATATACATATGGAAATAAACCAACTAGCTCAGCTTCAAGCCGCCACACATTACTGACTAACCGCCTCCACGACCAGTTGGGATAAATAAGTAACTGCTATATATTGGCTATTAAAAGGATCCTTTTCATCAAAGTAGCCTGCCCCTGAACACTATATTTAACACAAATTGAAAGTCATAAAAATCAAGGACCTTTTTTTAATTTTTATGGAATATTACTCGCGCACTCGACAAACTGTTCAAACAACATACATGATGAGTCAACCTCGGAATTCAGAAAGCAAGTGCCTCCTGAAGGGTGTGGCAACACAAGTTTTGCAAACCTTCTTTAGAAAAAGAACACACCAATTCCTGATTTATCGCCTTCGGTAACAGTTTGAAAACAGAGATGAGGCTTTTATAATAGCTTCAGGCTGAACTTTGAGCATCAAAAGACCATTCGAATAAAAAATGGGAATATAATTGTGCATATTTTAGTTGTGTAGGACCAAACAGAAGCTGGCTGGTTTATGAAATAATCCACCCCAGCACACCAAGTCCTTCTAACTTGTCACTTAATATCATTTACGGTACCCCTCGCTATTGTACATGTTTGTGTAAACCATCATCACGTGCGCATCTCCTTAAGACACTCCCTAATCAATCTAGGATAATATCACAGCCTTGCGCGCAAAGACCACCTTAAAGTCTCAAAACCTGTCGACCTTCGGGAAGCTCAACAAGGACAATAAAAGAACCATTGTGTGTGCCTGGAGCCCCTTGGGACTTTACTAGGCTGACTTTTCTCAAATACCGCACTCTACGCGTAGCAGGGACTTGTCAGACGAGTAATAAGGATAATCGATTTACAACAAGGCCAACATGTAGTGTTTTGAGTGAAACGGATTTATAAATTCAATCAACTGCTCATAATTCTTGAGTGATTTCAAATTCTCAAATGCCAGGACCTTCAGCTAGGTTTTCGAGAAATCTGACAACACGTAATGGCTGCGCTCTATTCTGATTGATCAGGGTAACGAGCTGAAGCTGTAGTTTGTGACTGTTCGACAGGCACATAACAGCTAATACAACTGCCCTCACTGAGTTAGTCACACGTCAATGCATCTAATTGCCAGTCATTAAGAACATTAAAAACAACCCTCCTAACCGTCTGAACATTTTCAACAAATGGATGAAACAAGACAAAAGGGGCAAACTGAGCCTTCAACTTCACATAACTAGCTGGTCATTCTGCAAACCTGTCTGTTTTATCGGTCACAAATGACATCACATTCTTCGGCTGCATTCTACTTCTTAATTGTCTCACTTTCGTGAAGTCCCTTAATATCAAACCGGATAAAGTCCTTACCTAATATAGACCGAAGCTCAGATCTTAGTACCTGAAACACCGTCCTATTGTCTTGGTTATCTGTTTTTCTGCCAATGGGTTTTGCCGAGACCGCTATAACACTAGCCACCGGTGGCAAATGGTGGTATCTATACGGGTTCCTAGTATCACGTTCGGCACGCCGATATGTCATACAGGTATACCGGCGTAGCTTTTCGAAATTTCATTAGCATTCCCTCCGTTGATATCTCACATTCAGTGTTTTTTGCATAAGCTCTTAAAACTCAAGAAGTACTTAAGTTGAACAAGACTAACATATCTACGGTGTACACGGGAAAGCAATCGTTGTAACCTCCAACAAAAATCTCAAGACCTTCCTAAAACGACCCTGAGTCGGCAGAAGATTTGTTTTCGCTGGGTTTTCAGACGACGTGAAAAACGGGAATTTTGTTCAGGCGTAGAGATGTTCGTATATTTATATATCTAGACATATTAAGTATTGGGAAAACACTAGGTTGTCGGTATATTATTCCGTCAAAGATATGCTTCCCCACTAATCAATTTGAATTTTGGATCTGGAATTGTTGTGTTTAAACTTTCTGGCACGACCGAACGAGTTCAACACCCAGAGACAATAAAACTGCTATAATGATTGAATGTGCACTATAATCCTGCACAATATTTGCTAAGCGGTGTTTTGTACAACATGGAACAACTCAACTTCAGTAACGCTAAAACGTCCTTAAGCGATTAGCGCGTTCGGCTAACCCCCGCTTACCTGGGAAACGCTTTTTCCTAGTAGTGAACCGTCGACGAGGGACGTCCGGCTCGCGGTAATTTTCACCGAGCAGTGGGCTTCATTCTCGGCAGCAACCAGCGCGTTCGCCAAAGCAGACGCCTCGGTGACCACCCTTCATTGTCAATGTCCCTTTGACGGCCTGAGCGAGAACAACCACATCGGCGTCGATCTCAGAAGAAAAACGTGTGTGCACCTCTTTTTTTTTCTTTTTTTTTTCGAGAGGCCGCGTTTTTTATATATATTTATATTTTTAGAACACTCCTATCGCAGCGGGGTGCGTGTCAGAGATGGATTCCCGAACGAGCCGCTCCCCGGTAAGTGTTTCGTTCGTGCGTGCTGCACACGGTGCTGACAGCAGGAATTCTTTTAGACGCATAGGAGGCGGCTTCGTTAACAAGCGCCTCAGTTGTCATTGTGCAATCTGATATCTTGTGTATATAGTGTACCGGGAGAGCTTCGATGAAGCTTTTGAACGCCTACACTTGGGAGCATTCTTTGGAGTGCGTTTTATGCCAAGATTAGACAAAAGCAAGTCCCAGGTTTGATCTCTTGCTAAGCCACTAGAGTATTTTGACATCTCTTTGGGCGGGAGGGGGGGAAGGAGGGGCTGTACCTTTGTTTATTCTGTTTATTGGAGTCAAAGACAGCGGTGGACGAGGGACTATGTTTAGAAGTCATAAAAGGCCGCGCTGTTTTGACTGGTTCACGTGTAATCGTATCTACAGGGGTGGCCATCTCTGGTTCATGCGGGATTTTTATCTTGTAATCCCTGTCTAAGCGCATGTGCAGTTATTTTGGATACTCAGGCTAGTTTTGGTGTTTTTGACGAAATGGTTCTTTTTATTTACATTTGTGTTATTTGTAGTATCTCCGTTGATGGGACTCGAAAAATTAATATTTTTTGCTGACTTGTACGTTGTTCAACTACTCTACTCAAGTTACTGTAGTTTAACTAATTTTGTGAGTAGTTTAGTAAATTTGAAATATATTTTTATTGCGGTAATTAGTCGTTTACTTTAATTACTTTTTTCGAGTAACTTCTACTCAAATTACAAATTACTTTCGAATTTTAGTGGTTCTTTTGCCTATAAACAAACATTTCTGCACAAAATATATAAGATGGAAGATCAGCTGGTATCTGCGAAGAGGGCGAAGCATGTGGCGTAGAAACGGGGGGGGGGGGGGAATAAAGTGGTATGGAGAGTCCGAAACCCCTTAAAATTTTCACGAGCCCCCCCCCCCCCCCCCCCCCCTTTCTGCAACAACACTGCTGCGAGGCGCGGGAGCGAAGACACGACGCAAGAAAGGCCAATTAACTGTGGGATTAGCGACGAAGACTGGCGTTCCTTTGTGTCCCGAATCTCAAGGAGACTTGACCCATTTGAAGAAAGGGCTTGTCCCCGCTTCTCCCCAAAGAAGGAACTCTCGCCCACTACTGGAGGTGTATGCATACTGCCTCCTCACTCAAAGGAGGCAACAAAATGCAGCACCTGCTCTGAAGCTCATCTGGTGCTCCCGTAGTTTGTGCTGTACTCCCAGAATTGCGTGCTAAAGGGCAACGCGAAGGTGACATTTTTGTGTGCCTTTCCTGTCAAAACTCAAAGATTTGAAGATCGTTCGAGAAACGTTAGTAATTTCCCTAACGTTTTTACATAAAAAATAATAAACCAGCTGTGTTGGGAAGTACTCTTAGTACATGGTACATAAAGTACCACTGTTTAGAAAACTTGCACTTTACTTAAAGTACATTTTCTGAGCATTGACTTATACTTTACTAAATTATTTTTCTCGTAGTTAAAGTAAAACTTCCGGCTTGAATGTACATCCCACGAATTGAGAAACAAGAAATGACATATTGCCGTGTCAAAACGCGCTTTTTCGAAGCGTTATCTGGTCATTTCCCTTAGTGAAGTAATGGCGGCTATAAGACCGACACAAATTCCTTATAAGTTGAATGTGTCAAATAGCTCGTCAGCGAGAGTAAAACAACTACTCGGTGGCAGTTTGACTTTATACAATATTTGCTGCGGTTTCCGTTAAAAAGTTGATAAACCTCCGATCACACCTGGGGCAATGCATACCAGTTAAACAGAAACACTATGTAGGGAATGAGAGTGCATCACGAAAATTGTGTCAAAAGGACTTGTACTTTACCTTAAAATATATTGCATCTATAGTAAGGTACTTCAAGTACATTTCACCCGGTGTACTTACTACTTTACTTGAAGTACCTAACCTCTAATTGACTTTGTACATTACTTCAAGAACTTTTTAGATGTACTTCACGCAACACTGTAAACAAGCAAACACTCTCTAAAAAATCAAGCTGAGGCAGTGCTAAACCTCAAAGTAGAAATTACACATTCGCAGTACTTCATTGACCAAAAAACAAAAAAGAAGTACAAAACAATTAGACAAACAAACAACCAGCTCGTAAATCATTTCTGTGAAAAAACAAGCCGATTCGTACTTGACTAGCACAATTCCGTTAACGAATCAAAATCTATTTACTTTCTTGTTACCCATAAAAAAAAACATATAAAACAAACTTCAGACGCAACTACCAAAGTAAATCGCTACTTTTTTTCGGTAATTAATAATTTTCTCAATTACTTTTCATTTGAGTAATTTCTACTGTACTCAAATTACTTTTGAGGCAAATACTCAGTAACTTAATTACTTTTTTTGAGTAACTTGTACAGGTCTGATGTTTTGGCCTCGTGCGTCCCTTTTTAGCGGGTGACTACTAGGTATAAATTGTCGCTTCCCTTACTCAAAACGAAAGTTGCATCAATGTGTCTTGACTCAGTTCCTATAGTCACTTGTGTTGACTTTGCATTGGCAGGGCTCGTGAAAATCATGTGTCTAAGACGCGCCAGCGCAAACAGAACAAAAGCTTTACTTGGGTTCCGCACGTTATAAACTTTATAGTAGGTATGCGTAAAAGGGTTGTAAGTATTATGTCTGTGTTTTTATTTGTTATGCCCAATGTCAATGAACGTTTCCTCGTTATCCTTTAGGAGTTACAATATTCCTTCCTCTCAAGAAATGGAGCTATCGGATGCATATTTTGTTTCTATTCTCACGGCGCGCTGAAGAAAAATCTAAGGAGGTTTCAAATCTTATAAATAATTATTTTGATATAAACGAACCGTTCGATGGGAGGGTTCTAAATTTTAGGGACACTAAAGAATTTAAAGCATTTAAATGCTTACAGCAATTTCAGTTTCGTGAAAAATAGAAATAAATCTACTGCGCACAGTGTCTATTCCTTAAAGTGAAATACCTGGTCGCGGGTGATTACCTCCAAAGGTATACAAATTTTCGGGAGTATAGGCCGTGCAGCAGACATGCATAAAAGTTAATGCTTTACCATGCGCAAATTATCTACTCTATTCTGTGTACTATCTAGGATTGAAAGAGTTAAACAGTTTTCAGAACCCGGCGTGAAATGTACTGGACCTGGCTCTAGCGAACTTTCAAGTACATACCCTCGCACCGATGTCTAAGCCCCCTTTTCACCCCAATCAGTGGCACGTCCCCATCTCCGCTTCTTTCAACGCTTCTTACAACGCTTCCTACGGGAGAGCAAAGCATGCAAGCCATGAATTGTTCGCTTTTAATAGGGGGAATTAGCTTCGCCTTTTCACATTTTTAGATAGCGTTGATTGGGCACCAGTCAACGCTGGTGCCCAAAAAAGTGTCGTAGTTTAACCCGCTATCCTCTTTGGTTTTCGCACGAGCGTAGGTCCGAGCTTAGAAAGAAAACTGTACTATCATAAGAATTAAAGGTCAAACAAACACTGTTCTGTTATAGTAAGTTTTGCAAATCACGAGCGTTAGCTAAGGTATTATCTAGGGGGACAAAGAATCTTATCGAGGGTCAGTTTAACGCAGCTTAAACCGCGACCCCAAGTATTTCTGGTGGTACATCAACGATCGCATGACCACGTTCTCTTCTGCGATAAGCCTATGTGACGCATCTAGTAAAGTACTGAATGAACCTGCATGTGTCTCAAGCGCATTCGCTGATTATTTCGAATCTGTTTACTCCTCAAACCGAGCCGCGTCATGCACGACAGATAATAGAAACAGGCATAATGGTAACCTCTCGATTACGTCTTTTCAAAACGCTGAAATCGAGATTGCGATGAAGCGTCTAAACCACAAGCTATCAATGACTTTTAATGGCACCCCAAGCGTTATTGTTAAATGTTGTTCCTTATTTCTTACGCCAATATTAGCGCAGATTATCAACTTGTTTCTATCAAGTTTTACTTTTCCCGAGTATTGGAAAAATTCTGTCTTTGTCCCCGTTCACAGAGGTGGCAAGACCGTTGACGCAAAGAATTACATACCGGTGTCCTTTCTCTGTGCTTTTTTCGAAAGTTTTTGAAATCGTTCTGTTTGAACATTTGTCACAATTTTTTAAATGTAAAATTATCATTTCACAACATCGTTTCTTCCCTAGCAGGTTCGTAAGGACCAATCTAGTGTCAGTCTTTGTTTCGTCAATTTCCGATCAGCGTGTGCAGGTGGATAGCGTATGCTTGGATCTGTCGAAGTGACTTAGTGAATCATTCAATTCTTGTGCATAAATTGGGGACATGTGGAGTAAATAACCAGCTTTGCAAATTTTCTTCAAACTATCCGATGGAAGGGAAAACCTTCGTTTAAGTATTAGGACATAAATCTAGATCTTATGTGTCTTTTTCTGGTGTACCACAGGGGTCCATACTATAGGGCCAATTTCATTCAATGTTTTTATAAATGATCTGGGGTCTTCTGTCCGCCATTCACATATTTTCCAATATGCTAACGACATTAATTGTTTAGGCAGGTGTCATCCATCTATGACCGTGAAATGATACTCGAGGATGTTAATTCTGTGCTCGATTGGTGTTGCTAAAATCTTTTAACACCGAATCCAAAAAAAAACTGTAGTTATGTCCTTTTCTAAGAAATTTGAAATCGTAAGTTTTTGCTACAGTCTTGTGAACCTACCTCTGCGTAGGGCTGACTGCACAAGAGACTTAGGAGTATATATTGATTCATCATTGTCATTCAAAGAACATATTTCCAACATCACTAATGCTGCCTATCGGACGCTAGGTGTTATTTCGAGAACAACGCGTCAAT